CGTACTCTGCTCAGAGAAGACGATGGAGACCTCCTCGTCCTCTCGAAATCCCATTCCCATTCCACGGGCGAGTTGGGAGGATCCAAACTATAGGTGCAGAGGCGTTCCCCAGTACTTGGCTATGCTAGCCCAATGCCTCGGTACGGCGAACGAATGCTAATCTCTCGGAGAAAAAGTTGTCCATGCGAAGTATGCTGCGTTTCCCGATAATGACGACGACACTGGGCGAAGGTCGACCCGTGATCGGACTTTGTTCCTCCGACAACCGACCGATCGATCGATCGAGTGAGACCCACATTGCTAAATATTCTCGCGTAGAAAGAAGTGTATGTTGGAGGAGGGGGCTCAGATTGATCAAGATACGACGGAGTTAGATCTCTTCTCATCTTAGGTGGAGTGCGGTCCCCCTCTCTAAAGGTGGAGGTCGCCCCGTCGGTCTGTCGGTCGCTTCGGGCCGCGGCCTGGTTTGCCGTCGGGTCGCCATACCGGCACTTGAGCTCCGAGCGCGGGCACGATGACAACTCGGAGATACGATCCCGAAATTCGTCGAGTTCGCCACGCCAACTGAGCCCAGAGTCAGACGGTACCGTCGGGGACGACATCCATTGAAGTCGCTTATCATTTGGGACAACGTCGCGTCGACGCAATGACATCACGTGATCACGTGGCACTTGAAACTCTCAAAGAGCGACAGCCTGAACGGCGCGTCGTCGTGGAGAGAGATGCCATGCTCACTTCACGTTGTTGTCCGCGATCTCAGTCTCAGTTCAGCAGTGGCAAGCGGAACATGTCATTTGTGCCAATCGTGAACACGCGTCTCAACGTCTACTCGGAGCGCCCGCGGAGACACTCGTCGACGACTTCTCCGAGTCACCTGGTCATTGAACGCAGATGCCACAGCCTCTCGGCGTCGCCTTCGAAAAAACTCGGATCTTCACCGGTGTCCTCTTTGTTGAACTCTCTCCTCAAACGGAAAACCTCCAAAAGCCAGGAGCGCCGCGGATCGTCGGAGGAGGACTCCTCTGCGACGCCACAATCGACCGTCCCCGGGGTTGAGCGGTCCAAGTGCATCGACATTCCGCGACCGATTCTCAAGGTTCCGAATTCTCACAATGGATCACAACAATCGACATACGAAAGCGACGAATCCGTGGAAGATGCCGACGCGTCTCCACAGAGTGACGGCCGAAGTCCAAGACTGCGATCGGTTTCCATCAATGAAGTTGTTGAAGTGCTCCGCATGGAGGATAACACAACGTTCCAGATAGCTCTCGCAGACGACCGACCGGATGATCTGCCCCTCATTCCCACGTAGCCTCGACGGTGGTGGTGGGAGGAATCCCTGAATCTAGTCTGTGATCACATTTACGTGACGTCTGCAGGCGGACTGCCACTCGGAATACGGGGAAGATCTCCCTGCTCGGACGTCGGACTCCCAGAGAGCTTTGTCTACAGCTGAGCCGTACAAGGGTTCGACTATATTTATATGGAAAATACACGAATCACTGAAATAAAGAACTGTATAGATACATATAGATTTTCCGAGTTCTCTTCATTCTCCTTGCCAGCTCAATCTGAGACAATGCGCACTGGAGTTTCCGTCGACATCGTCTAAGCGCGTTTGTTTCTACGTATAGGACAATGTTTCGCAGAAACGTGTGTCAAAGAGCTTAATTGGACTAATGAACTCCTGTGTTGGATTAGAGGCGTGCGACTGACGAGCGAAAGCCCAACAAAAATATTGCGCAGTGCTCTGGACTGACTGAGTGAGAGCACTTTCTCATGCTGTGGTGAATTTCCCGAACGAATACGTGTAGGCGTGACGAGCGAGAAAAGGACCTGCTACGAGCTCTCGGGTTCTATCTATTCAGTATGCTTCTCAAGCTGCGACTAGAAAAGGAATAATTCGTCGATTTTTTTTCCAAGGAGAAATCATGGCGGCGGTATCGAGTGAATTTAATTTCCCCCGGGTTGCTCTTCAACAGATCGATTCTCCATTCAAGCTCTCCTGGCGTGCATCTTGCTCCCGAGCTTCCAACGTCACTCCCTCAGGGGCAGGCCTTCGGGGCCGAGACGGACGAAAATAAGATTCCCCTCGAGCCTTGCTCGCGATGTCATCAAGTGCGCACAAGACTCGATTTCGTGTCCGTACAAGTTGATGCTGGCGTTGCTTTTTTTCAGTGCGGTGACACGCCCTGCGAGCTTTCGCAAACGGGAGGGACAAAGTTCACGTCGGTCATCGAAATCGACACGCCACGACGATTCTGAGCTAGTCTGCTCTCGCGATACGTTGAGTTCGAATGACGAAAATTCACGGCCGTTCTCGACGCTATCGGGCTCCTAAAGTCCGGAGCGTCCGTGCGCGTGTATAATCGAAAAATATCGTCGGAAGAGGGAACCATCGCCAACGAGCGATCCTCAGTCAGCGTCGACCCCGCAAAAAAGAATGGGAAGGGCCACTCGACCCGTCAAGGGAGTCGGCCAAGGAAACCTAGTTCGGGGCCAAGCGACCGCGCGGGCAGCCATTACCGCCGTTTGTTTCGCTCGAAGTGATCAGAGCGGCGGAGCTCACGGCATCGATTCCCTGCCTCTCCACCGGCTTTTCGCTCTCTTCACGGAGTCTCAGAGTCCCATCATGACCGTCTTTTCAATTCTCTCGATTTCGATGACTCCACATGAGTGGAGTGAGGAGAGCAATGCGGATATTTGTACCGATCGACGCCCAGAGAGGAGTCCTCGGGGAATCGGTTCTTCCTGAGTCGAGGGGTGAACATCTTGTCCCACAAACTCGCCTACGCAGCGTCCGCGCAAGCATTAGCTCTTCATCGATCAAGAATGAGCGCAGCCTCTGGAGAAAGCGACTTTTCTGAGCATGAAATACCGATGAATGACGCTTTCAGGCTTCCCAAGCGCTCTCGAATCGCGCAGCCTCCCGCTCGGACGCGGAAGAGATCGTCATTTCACTGGTTCCGATTTGTTGCTTGAGCTGGAAGAGAGTTCTGACTATCGGTCCGATCTGACTGAAGAAGTCTGAAGATTCCCTTACGATCTCCATTGATTTTTCCATTCTCATGGAGCGGAGTAACTGAGGTGATGTAGATTCAAACGAGTCAGTCAGTTTTACTCCACCATCTGTTGGATTTCGCGATTCTCTCGGTCGGAAGCTCCATTTGAAACGATCCAAGTCTTTCAAGAAGTCGTTCCTCGGAGGCAGAGTCAAACGACACGCTAACCTTCCGGGACCATGGGTAGAACATGATGAGAGCATCATGCAGGACGAGGAGATGCTCTTCGACGCGCTTGCGAAATCCCTCGATCGAAAGACGCCTCTTTTAATGAGCATATTTAGGTATTGATTCATGAATTCATAATGCGCTTGAGGGACTCTCGTTCCGAGGCAGAAGGGCTGCCCAACATTTCACTGATCGAAAACTGAATTCCCCGCTTTTTCAGGTGCACAGCTTCACATGAAAGCCGTGAGTCAGCCGGACTCCATGATCGGCTCATCACAATTTTCTTCAGTTCTGTCTCGAATCAAAATGGTGAGTTCATGAGGTCCCGAGTGTTCTCGAAGGGGAGCAGTACGGGATAGGAGTGGACTAAGTCTGGAGAACGAATGCCGGAACGCTCATGCAGCGCGAAAAGTTCCTTTCATTGGTGGCACCCTCCCTGCGTCGGAATCAGATTACGGCCGATCGGAACTACTCGCATCGTGATAATTGATGCCCGAAAGGCGATCCGATTGGCTCATGTCGGAGATTCGACTAGCGGTTTGCTTCAGATCACATTGATCTTGGTGATCTATTCTGTCTTAACGCACCCTGTCGACGCGGGTAATTTCGATTCCTTTCCCTCATACTCACGCTCATCGACACCTCTCATCGACTACTGGTCACGTGAGAGTCGAGACCTCTCGGCCTGAGCACTGACATCAGAACGCGTCACCCATTGGACAGATCGACCACCAAGCTGTGTGTCGCCGATCGAGCGTGTCGAAGTCGAACGATTATTTCTCCCATTTGAGCGGAGAGCCTCATGGGACATTCCCTCCGCTCGGATATGACGTTTGACGACTATTCCGAATCCACCTCTGGAAGTCGCGGTCTCCGAGCGATTTCAGTTTCGGTCCCCGCTCTTGGTCAACTCGACCTGGGCGATATCTCGAGATGTAGATAATAGTTGATAGTTGCTCGAAACTTGGCCTGCCCGAGCTTAGTTGACAGAGCCTCACGACTGCTTCGAACTTGAGAGAACCTTTCCGAGACGTCGGATTCCGACCGAGGAGGGGCTACCTAATTACCTGCTGAAAGTCTCAGATTCTCAGAGGTGCACGGATAGGACTCTTCCTTGCGGAGAGGGCGGAAAATAGTGCCGACAGCTTATGGAGCAGCTCACAGCTCCTTCTTCCCTGACTGTATTCATCGGGATCATTCTGACTGAATGTGAGATATGAGCATGCGAGGCGCATCCTGAAGATTCTGTTCTTCGCCGGATGGATATCAGATGATGCTTCCAATCACCACTGAACGCGGCAATCAAGATAGAATTGCGAGCGAGGAGTGCGGGACCTTGACAAGAGAATTCATTGACTTATGGTTGAAATTAATGTCTTTACAGGACGGGGATTCTGACTCTGAACGAGTCGTATCTTCACTCGTGGACGGTCCTGCTGCCCTACTCCGATACGAGGAGGATGAGGATGATGGCGATGAGGAAGACGACACCGAGGATGAATATGGTGAGTGACTCCGTTAGCTTTTGGCTCTGTTGTCGAGCTCGCTCAATACACGCGGGATTAGAACGAGAATCGCGATGCTCCTCCGGACATTGAACATATCTCCACTCAATCCAATCGGAAACTCAGGGTGGGAAGCGAGATGCAGGGGACAATCCTGCGCAAGGCTTGAAAAGAGGAATCAGCAGCTCCCGACACGCTTCCCTGAGCGATCGATTTTCCCCCGGACTTACCGAAAAGAATGTACATGGAGGAAACGCTCGAAACAAAAATATCTTTAGTTTATTATTTGAATTGTGTACAAAGTATGCCATCCGGAAAGTCATGTGGACGGAACAGGAATCGGACTTCGACTTTCAAAGTTATTCCCGTGCGAAACCCCCAAGTTTCTACATGAGATTTTTTGCTCAGTTTGCTGGATCAAGTGGAGGACCCTTTGCACTCCTCGGTAATCGGGAGCTACCGGTCATCTTTCACTTGATCGGGAGCTTGTTGGAGAAGGGAATACTTCGCGAAATCAATCAGGAGGACGGTGATGTTGTCCTGTGAGCCTTTCAGGTTCGCCCGCTTCGCCAACTCCTTGCAGACGCCCGGCGATCTGGAGCTGTGGAAGAGTCAGGAAGTCGAATGAGCGCCTCTGCTCGAAGAAACGAGGAATAACGAACGACCCGTTCGACTAAGCGTTCCGATTTGAGACCTACGATCGGGAGACTCGAACGCCAGCGGTGACGTAGGTCGACGTCATGAGGCTGCGTAAAACGTTCGAATAGCTCGCGCAGGGCGTAGAGATATAAATGTGCAGCTCACCTGCCGTAGCGTTCCCGGATGAAGGTGACGGCATTTTCATTATCGAAAGCGTCCCAGAGACCGTCTGAAGCCAAAATTACGAAGGCGCTCTTCTGCTGGGCCAAGTTGAATGTCAGGATGTCTGGCTCGGCGGTGACCAAATTACGATCTTTGAGAGGGTAGTCTCCTGCGAGCGAAATTCGAACGTTAATTCGATATCGAGGAAACTGAGTTCGATTAATGAAATCAAAGCTTCAGGCATTGCCAGACAAAAATACATACCCAAGGCTCTCGATGTGGCGAGAATTCCCGCCACGCGCCAAACGCCATTGAATGAAATGAAACCACCAGCGTCCTCAATACGCTTCCTCTCCTGCAACAAGAAGGAAGACTTCAGTATATGCTTGAGAGCCCAATGGACCCTCAAGCTCCATGGGGAGTCGCGAGTTCGGTCCGACTACAAGGAGAACCGCGGGACGAGATATGGATCCAGACGCTCTTCCGGCCTAAATCGGGAGACAGACTATCGCTTGCAATCTGGGTCTTATTTGGGAAAAAAAGAGGAACAGCTCCTTGTTTACGCTATTCTTTGACCGCTGCTATCATTCGCTGTGTTTACACAAAGACATCGATTAGGATTGGTGACGTCACGGCTGGAAAATTGAGACACTTATCTCGAAGGCTCCGATAAGACTGACAATGCTTCAAAAAAAAGCTCACCTTCAGCTGCTGCGGTTTGTGGTCGAAAGACAACGGGACGGTCCGGCCGTTGTCCGTCGCCATCACGCCTCGTGAGTCGCCCACGTTGGCCACGATGAGCGTGTCTCTGAATACAACAGCTACTAGACAAGTCGTGCCCGAATAATTTTTGCTCTTTTTAGACTCTTTCACGAAGTTTTCGTCGAGTTTGAGGATCTCCTGCCGTAGCGTGTCCTGAATTTGTATAATCTCGATGTCGGATCGAGGTTTACGGATTCGATCGACGATTGCTGGGAACAGCTTCTTTTGGGCGTATTCCGCAGCGGTCTGAAAAGCGGAAAACGGAACCGCCTTTAACGTGGAGCTTCCGGGGAAGCCTCTCGTGGGAATTCGAAGCTCGACTTCAGCGAACGTGATTCATTGCTGTTTATATCAATGGAGTTTTATGGTTGGTCTACCCAGGTACATAGACCCGCCCTACACAGACCGTCGCCGTAGCTGCCATCGGTTTTAGAGAGCGGGAATTCAGGCCAGTTGGGTCGAAAAACAGCCCGAAGGTTATATCAGCGCTCGCCGTGATTCGTTCCGAGTACGCAAACAAGCGATGCCTTGCCTCGCAGCGGCGCTCCCGGAAGCGAGATTAGGAATGAAACGTACCTCTCCGCCGTGACCGTCGAATATTCCGTAGAGGTAGAGGTGCTTCTCCGGAACGGACATCATGCTGAATCGGTCCTCCATATGCGCACGATTCCCTTGCATAGCGTATACTTCAGCGAGTGTGTCATCGGCGGACCATTCGACACCCGAGACCCGTTGTATTGGAGGCAACGATGGACTGACTTCTGTGAAGAAAGCCGCGGCATGAATTCTCTAACTTATTACTCGGAGTTATTCCGAGAATTTCCACGATCAGCCCACAACCCCAAGAAGGTCTCAGCGTCGTGATTTCGTGCCGTATCACCCCCTCCCTCCACCCAAGTTTCTCTGAACTTCCGTAACCCTCACAAACGGATGTCAAGCTCGACACCGAACGAGAAATGACTTGATAATAATCCAGCCGACATCGTAAATCGTAATCAGATGATCTTTGAAGTTTTTTCGGTTCAAGAAGTCCTACCCTTTTTCGGCTTGCCATAATAAGCGAAGAGCTTCGCGATTAGTTGACGAGCGCGGTAGTTCGCGGGCACCCGCAGCCCGCGACATGACACGGGAGCGGGCGCCACGGGGAGCGGAGCGAAACGAAACACTTCGGATTTCGAGCACTTTGGCTGACCATTCACTAAGTGCCACAATTGGAGAACCACAGCGATTCGAATCACGATCGTTGCAAACGTTTCCGAAAGCCCGTCCGGAGGAAGGCGCCGGCCCGTATGTAGATCAGTGTTTCACGCGCTCAGAGCCTCTGTGGGCTTCACTGCATGCGATTTCGAGTCGGTGGCGCCCTCACGATTCGGGTCCGATCGCAGGTATTGAGCAAATCACGGACAGACCGTATCTCGGGCAGGGGACAGAGAGTCTGAAATCAGGGGCTGGAAGCTTCACCGCACTGACACGAGACATCTACAGAGCCACGTGATAGAAAGAAGGCAGGGCCTTGGAAGGCGCCTTCGAGACGGAATTTTCGAAGGAACAGTTCTCCTCTCATCCTCTCATGTTGTTCCCGAAGTCGACAATGACAGCCGCCATCACTCGCCTTGAGACGAGGAAAAAGCGAATTCTTGTTGCTCCCCAGCGAAATGACGAAATCGATGGCACTTGAAACGTCGGATGCAAACTAAAGTCACCGGACCCGCGGTCGCGGCCCCCACCCGAGAGGTAATCCAGAACAGGGAGGGGGGCCCGGGAACCTTGACATCACTGACGTATCATACATATCTCCGGACAAACCGCTGTACAGATCCTCGGATTCGATAAGGTACCTAGACGCCTGCTTCTCTGACTGAGCAGGTGGAGACTTACCACAAACTTGAACTTTTAGGCGTAAGTTCCTCAATGCGCCTGGTAGTAGCCGGAAGCTCTCGCGTATATACGAATGACACTCCGGATGACGAATTAACAGTAGACAAGATGCTATCACCATCACGAGGGAAACGATTTCTAAGACTGTCGTTCGGTCGAAGAGGGCGCACACGTATAAAATTGATTCGAAGGGTAAAGGACACATCCGCGACAGGTTTGACACGAGCTCCACGTGCGCCCACAAAAACTGTAGCAGAACCTCGACTTCGACTGAGTCATCCATGATTGTAGAAAAATTCTCGCTTTAAATTATATCTCAGAACGATGAGCGCGATGCGGCTTCGATGACGCGAGAATCATCTGAGCGAACTGCGGGAGCCATCCACTGAATCCTCCACCTGAAAACCAGAGGTCGTATGTTTAAAGTCTCGCTGGTTGCTCTCGAGGCATTATTTCTAATTTTGAGAGACGCGTGATATGGTGCGTTTCATCGGCCGAATTCGGGAACGTTACGTCCGGCAAGCGGCAAAGCTCACAGCCTACAGTGGAGAGATGTCACATCCGCGGAAAGTCTTCGTGAAAAGAAGTATTCGCTTCTCTAAGCTCGGGATTCCGTCGCTGAGCCTTCGGATTTCTTCGCTCGTGTTCGGAATATCCTCTATCAACAACAAACACAGAGTCACGTGCAAGTTTGAGCCGTTGCTCTTGCATGTCTGCGGTTGACGGGGAGAGTCGCGTCTCTGGACGGGTTAGAGCGACGTGATATCCTTCCCTCCGGCTCTGAGAGATCTCGATGGACATACCACCCGGCTCGCTGAACGATCAGTCTCTCATCAGGAAGACCTTGCGTGGCGTCATCACCATCGCAACCTTAGTGTCAACAACAAACTCACGTGAGGGCCCAATTTATGGGACAGGAAGCGATGCCCTTGACACTCATTGGTCGACTCACAGCTACCAATGAAGCTCTGGCATGTAGGTCCTTAGTCTCCGCTGATTAACTTCGAGAATGAGACCGGCTCAGACATGCACTCAAAGTGTTGAGCTGTCATTGAGACCAGGAAACCCGCCTCCAAAACAAATCCCACGACATCAGTAAAGATCAGAGTTGAAGCGAAAAGAGAACCGCGGCTCCCTGGAAGGCTGCGGAGCGTGTCACCGGCGGTATCCGTGATTCTACGATTCGAACGATTCAGGTGACAGAGCCGAGAATAGGCGTTGGCACCAGTCCAAGAAAGTTCGGCCTACTTAGAACAGCCGACCAGGTGGTACTGGGAGTTCAAGAACTCATCAGATGTACCGCAACGTATGCAGACGACTTCGGTGACTAATCTTCTAATCTTCCGGCGGGCTTGTCGCAATGATCCGTCTCCGGCGACAAACCTAAATCGAAGAGCGAGATCCGAACGGTCTTCGGAATCAATAAAGCCTCCACTATGCAACGTTGCGATGAACGAAGCACTTGGCTCACAATGCCCGAAATAAAGTACTTATCCGCTATTGTGGCTCTTAAGCCCGGGCCTACAGAGCTCCAAAGAAAAATACTCCTGCTCGCGTTGCCGTCGATCGTAGGCTCGCTTGAGGGATCAATAACGGGAAGTCGGCCTTCCTCCCGACTAGGAGCTGTTGAATTCACTCTGGTTTTGCCATGGTTTCTCTTGAGCTCCATTTCTTTCCTCTGTCCTCCGTTTCTGAGACCGCCTGATATCGTCGCTCGATGTGCCGTCTCGGATCCACGGAACTGGATGGAATTCCTCGACCTGTCGTAGAACATTGCGATCCAGATCCTCAGCTGGCTGAGCGTGGACAGTCTTCGTTGAAGCTCCTCGCGGATCGGAGAATGCCCGAAAGTTCACAATGAGCCCCAACCAGATACAATATCAATCAACTTCGTTCTGCTGTTCGGGCCCGGAAGGCATGGCGACAGGTAGATACTCTCCCGACCCCCGTTCGAATGCCTGTACACTCTCCCAGAATCGTTCCGACTCCGGACTGACAGGGGATCGCGAATTCCGATGAATCAGCTCCGTATTCAGATGTGTGGCGGCTCTTACAATTTCGGAGCTCTTCCCAAGCATAGAGATATGTAGGAGCTCGAAACATACCTTTTATCCCCGAGAAATCAGTTCGTAGCGTTGAGAACACCGCTACGAGAGCACCAATTGTGGTTGTCGGCTCGAGAAACATAGGTCCCTCGCCAGAGGGCGCTCCCCGGTCCTTGTTACCGAGGAAACATACGAGAGGGCTCGAAGAATTGAGGGAGGGAACGAAGCAAAGCATGCTTCTGAGCTTCATCATGGTCACATACTCAACGAGACACAGAAAGATTCACGGCTGACAGTCATTTCCAACTGTGGACGCGACACGTCCTGACCGGGGGGCATTCGATGAGACGCCTCTGGGAGAAGAGACGATGGGACGGCTTTGGGAAAGGAGACGATGGAACATGCCTGGGGACTGAGGCGCCGACTGGACTCGCACCGAGACTGTCGTGAGATCGAGGGACATGTGACGTCGTGGTAGGCGCGAGGTCACAGAGTTATTCGTGTATCAAGGTTCTGTTCCATCAGGTGTGCATTGTTCTAAATATAGACACGACCGAGTTTCCGATATTCTTCCTCAGGTACAATTAGACCTTGTGCTCCCGCTTCAAAAGCGGAGACAACTTCGAAGTAAACCGGAGATTCTGCGTATCATGGGACTAGACCGGAATAGAATATTATATTCCTAGTTCGACAGTCCACTTAATATGAATCGTCTGTTGACAGTCGATCTGGAGGAATTATTCAGGGCTGGTGTCATCTGAATTCATGGCTGAATCAACCGAGTCGAGACAATATATCATTATAAGAATCCATAAGAGTTTAATTCTCTCGAAGTTGATCCTAGTCTATTGACTTCCTTCCGCATCGGTCGTCGACGGATTTCAATTATTCCTTGGGCTAATATGCGAATTGTTTATATTGCAGAATTCCAAGACGATTATATCTACGACATCGCCTCCCGATTGAAAGAAGTCAATGCACAACATTTCGCCGAGCCTTTGCCAGCGTCGAAAGAGCACAGGGTGAAATTCGCTGATAATCCTGTCGATCGCGTGCTCAACTATTCCCCGACGCCCCTGATGGACGTGGACGAGCGTCTCCAGCTTAAAAAGGAATACCTCATGAAGTTGTTCGCCAAAGACGATTCGGAACGAGGGGGTGGGTAAATCGACTCCGGTATTTTGTTCGGGATTCGGAATGGTCGGCCTGAAAACCTGATCTCTCATCTACGAATATCACCCGCAGATGGTCAATCGGACGATTCGGATCTCTTCAGTTCGTCTGACGATGATGACGATGATTTCATCGACAAGGCCAAGACACCGTCTCCAGTCATTGAGCTTCCCCGAAGTCCGAGTCCTACTCGAGTCCAAGACGGCTACGATTCAGACGACGAGGCCGAGCCGAGGAATGGTCTTGAGATTGCAGAAATCAGAGGAGGTTCGTGGACACCACCGATGCCCGATCCTTCTTCGGCTTACCCCTGAGCTCATTGAACATACGGAGCCTTGGCCACGCCTGATTCATGAAAAAAACATCCCCGAACTTTCAGAAGATACCCATGACGAGTTGGACAACAAAATCATGGAGCTCATCGAACGTTCAGTCAAGAGTCCCGATTATCATGCGGGCAAGGAGGCTGCGGAAAGCTTAGGTTCCAGGATCAAGGATACGATTCAGGAGTCATTGAAGAACGAGCCGATTGCGACTTCCAACGACGATCGCAGCAATGGTCATGAGGATCGAAGGGCAGACGATGCGAACTCACCACTAGTCAAATCTCCGTCGCCGGTAGGTTCGATGTTGCGAGTTCCTCGTAACCTCCGGTGCAAGAGATTTCCCGAAAGTTACTTCGAATGCGCTGGCACGCCCACCACGCTCGAATGATACGCATCGATCATATGTCGCTGATATTGGAATGCTCGTGCAATTCTCCCGGTAACTAGATTCACAAAAACCGAGAGGAAATTATACGTAAGAACGCTTTCTCCCATCGACAGGAGCCGCCAGCAGTGACGCTGAACGAAAGTACCGTCGACATGACGAAACAGATTGTGCCAGAGCGGCAGCTGCCTAAGGATCTCTCGATTAGGCCGAGGAAGTCTCCGCCGAGTTCCCCCAAAAAGACTCCAACGAGATCCACACCACCTAGTCCACGGAAATCGAATGACCGCCTAAGCGCACCACTCAATCAAGCCGCGTTTCCTCCGAGCCCGACGAGGTTCATCCGTAAGAGTACGTACCGCGCTCGATCGGGAGCTGTTACCAGAGATGACTCCATACGTGAAAATGAGGCACCGCTTCGCAAGGTGGAGATCACCTCAGTCTGATTCCTTAACGTCTATTTCCAGGTGGCGCTCAGGAGGCGAAGTTAGCTGCGAGTCAGAAACGACCGCGCCCCCCCAGTTCGAATACTAGTTCGGACACTATAGTCTCCCAAATGACGGAGAAGGATGTGAAAAGATTGCCAGCTTACACGGGTAATGAACGGAGTCGATATGGTCTGCCTCTTGAAGAGAAAGCGAAACTCAGAGAAACCCGGGATAAAGTCAAGAGGGAAAAGGTATGCGGATTCGGGGGAAACGTCTAGAAGAAATACGCTCGAGTATTCGTGAACGAAGCTTGGACCCGCTAAACATGGGATGGATGATCGACCCAGAGTACCCATTGGAGGCATCAATCCGATCATTTGAATTCCAGGAGGAGAAGGCCCGTTTAGAAGAGGAAGCCAAACTCCAACGGAAAATCGACGCTCAAAAAACATTCGAGGCCTGGCTTAAAAACAAAGAATCCGAGAAGAAGGGTTCTTCCAGCAAGAAGAAAGCGCTATCCCCTCAATCGAATGACGAGGTCAGTGAGCTTAAAGAAGTTTCTCCGGCTTCCGCTGACTGTGTTTCGTACCGACTCAGACATTTGCCTAAACCATTCGGTCTGGTCCGCAGAATTCCCAAGATTTCATCACAAGTCCCAACACAACGGTCACATTCCTCACATGGTTGGAGGGCAAGAATATCCAGGAGAAGCGGAATAAATTGCAACAAAGGCTCCGCCAAATCGAGCTGGAAGAGCTCGGAAAGAAACATACGAGACAAGACGCCCAACAAGCCTACAGACGGTAAGAAAAAATCATTAAAGAAATGACGGACCGACGGGCGTCGCAGCTATCGCTCGTATCGCCCGGGAAGCCCGAACCTGAACTGCTCATAAATGATGATTGCTCGAGGGGGATAGTAATCCGGGCTCGAACACGGAGGCTCGATTCTCCTAACGGGAAAGCTTCGTCACCGCAGGTGGTTGCGCAAGAAAGCCTTGGAAACCGAGCAGCAGAGGATGATCGAGAAACAGAAAAAGGTCGAAGAGAAACTCAGCTCATCCTCGATCAAATCGAGGGAAACACTCGATAGTTTTTTCCAGTCCGAGCATTTCCATTCCCTGGAACATCAAACTTCGAATGGAAAATGCTAAGAGGATAATCCCCTCTCTCCAAACAATCGAACATGTTGATGTTCCCGGTATATGATAATACTTGTTGTTCCTAGTTCAATAAATGCTCAGTGAAAATGACTCAAGGAGACGAAGGAGGTCGATGGGATCGACGCATTTCTGTACAGACTTCGCTGTAAAAATAAAGCCCGTGTACAAATGGTACACTCTAATGAAGCAGAATTGTGTTTTGCGGCTCCGTTCACTGAGGCGTCGAATTCCATGGGAATTCATCATTCGATTCGAAAACCTAGATCAGCGACATCTGAACTTATTCTCACGGAGGGATTCTCGTTGGCGGGAGGAAGTAGAAGATTCGTGAGTGGATGTATACAGCGTCATCTTTATTTGCTGTCGGTATTTGTCCATGAATCGTGAATGAGAACTCAACTGCTTCAAGTGCTCCCCACAATTTCATCGCTCACTCCTTAACATTTTCTGTATGAAATTCGAAAGAGACAACCTCTGATGGGCCAGACATCGAGGCTCCTTGACAGAGTCGCTCCTCATCAGCGAACTCGTTCGGAATGATCGGATATCCTTGCCGCTGTGGATTGTGAATGAGTCTTCGTCAATAATTCCCGATCAATCGGAGTAAAACACTACCTAGTCTCGATCGAAACAGAATTGCGCGTGAAGGAGACAGTGTAGGGGAGGGAATTCAGCTTGCGCTGGAATGTTCGGCCGAACCGTCAGGGCTACTAGATGAGAATGCGCATCTCTTCCTCGGATGACATTCTCACATTTCTACTCGTCAGTCAATCAAGTGCGCTAGTAGTGGCAGTCTGAGCCGAATGAGTAGAACGTGATCCGCCTTCCCGAATACCCCCCAACTGCCATGCTTTGATTGATCAGACAAACCATTTATCTCAAATAACATTCTCACGAAATAACTGCGGGAATGCAAGGCGTATGTTTCTCTCTGTGTCCCGCTTGAGCTCTAAGACCCGAAGAGGGTAATCATCTACGCCGTAAGACGGAGAACTAGCTCCGTAGGACCCTGCTCCTTAATTTTTCCAAGGACTCTCCGACGAGAAGCATCGCCTCGAGCAATAAATCCTGCTTGTTTGCAAAAAAAGGACTCCGCTACGCCCGACTCGCATTCCCCGTCGATGCACGGGACGTTTCTCGAACATAAATTATGATTTATATAGAAACTGCTCCAGATGCGAGCTCTGCGCGAGATGAGCATCTAGCGATTACGACAGGAGCGAATGATTGATTCTCGATACGTGGTAAATGGGGGCATCGTCCCTGATGTGGGATCCATGATGGACATCCAAACCTTCCTCAATCACATTGTGGGCGTGACGAGTGGAATGCTCCAATCTCGATGAGTCGAGAGTCGGAAACACTCCATATTCCACCGCAGATAAGAAAGATGTTATGCGAATATGAATTCCGTCATGTATTCCAAAATCACCATCCAGGATCAGAAATTTCAACCACTCCGGAAACTTCAGCGATCCGTTCAGACATCATCAATCAGTTAACGGTGGGAACGGGCGTTCAGCTAGCTTGTACTAGTGCTCTGTGTCCTCAACTTGCAGAAATCAGAATCACATGGTCAATTTGAGCAACATCATTTATGCTCGCTACTCTTGTGGGGGCTAGTGATGGTGGTGGCATTCATGCCTTTGTTCTCGCTTGTGCTTTGCGTTCGCACGGAAGCTCCAGCGGTTTTCGGAAATCAATGGCACTTGTGTTGGCAACGCACGAGACCAAATGATTTCAGCCCTCTGCAGTCAGTTACCCTCTGTTCCTCGATACCTGTTCTTCGGGATTTTTTCTTCTCGCGTCCCCTTCCCCTCTGATCGATCAGACCCAGCTCGTCGCGACCTTACGCCCCGGAGGCCATGAAATCAGATCATCGGCGCTCCCCATTCCGGTCTCTCTTCCTATTGCAGCCCTCCGCGGCGTGCGGCAATGCTGCCGATTTGGTTCAAAATAGGCCACAATCCTTCAAATTGTTCTTGATGATGACATCGGTCACCGCGTCGAAGACGAATTGTATATTTGACGTGTCTGTCGCACATGTAAAGTGAGTGTAGACTTCTTTTGTGCTCTGTTTGTTGAGTCTCTCGAACTGCATCTGGATGTAAGCCGCAGCTTCGTCGTACGTGTCGGCCCCGGTGTACTCGGGGAAGCAGATAGTGAGCGGGGACCTGGTGATCTTCTCTTCGAAAAGATCTTTCTTGTTCAGGAAGAGGATTATCGATGTGTGTATGAACCATTTGTTGTTGCATATGGAGTCAAACAAGCGCATGGACTCAACCATGCGGTTCATTTGGTCGTCTTCGGCGAGGACTAAGTCGTACCCTGCAGGAGAGAAGGTGGATAAGGTTCTCTCTCCGATCAACCTCCCTGGATCCTGACCCCAGAGGAGCTGGATCCAAATTATACAATCATGACTCCGTATATTGAACACGGGAAAGCGACTTAGGCTCTCCGTTTCAAGAAGGACCTCCGTGACGCACCTGATAGAGCAACGCAAAAGATAATGGCAGTGACTCCCTCGAAGCAGTGAATCCATTTCTTGCGCTCAGAGCGTTGTCCGCCGACATCAAACATTTTGAAGTGAAGGCCCTTGAAAACGAAGTGTGTTTCCACGATGCCGGTAGTCTTCACGCGGGTTCGCAGAACATCTTGTTGCGTGGGGATGTAGTTCCTCTGCAAGCGGATTATTTTGCTTATTAGAGGGATGGAGGCGAGAAGAAAGGATATTATAACCTGAGGAGGTTGGGCGGAATCACGAAATGAGGACCCCGATGGATATCCCACCTGTGATATGCGTTCCAAAGCGTTAAGATAATACGCCGCCGAGTCGTTGAGTTGATACTCTCTCGATCTTTGGAAACAGTGCTGGACCCCTTCGTCTCTCCAGAGCCGCTGCATCATAGCGCTGAGCTCAGGCGTGACTTCCACATCGCCAGCCATGTTGGCGCCCGCGATGCTGAAAAATTGGCGGGCGTCGTCCTGGAGAAAAAAAATTCAACTGTAGGCTTTATTACGATTGAATGGTTGATGGAGGGATATCCCGAGAGGGAATACAGGCTCTGGGAGAATAATCAGCCTCGCACCAGCCATCTCCGCGACCTCGGTGACATGAGCTCTCGGCGCGAATAATAATCACTCGAGGTTTTATATCCAAATCTAGCCGCGGTCACATCGAGAGTCGGTGTCTGATTGATCTCAGTGAGACATGTCGTCGACATGCCGAACCGGAAAAGCGCTCAGATGTCGTTCGCAGCGGCTCACTATAGCCAGACGGTCTCAGGGTAAAAGAGCTACTATCTAAATGAGATGCCATAAAACGGGCTCGGTCAGTGGATAAGCTCAGGAAAATCTTCCATTGGAAACTACTTAGCCTAATCTTCGCTTAAGAGCTGTAGAATCGTCATTCTGTCCGGAAATTCCTCGGCAACTCGAAGCTCGGACCGAACGCGATTCCCCGGGATATCCGTTTCCCCTCCTCTAATCACCTAAACTCGAGCGGTGCCTAGACTAAAGAATACTCACTGTTCTGGCGGGATCTCTGAAATCCACTCTGAGCTGCGCCATCGCTCGGAGTATGGCGAGAAGGCTCTGAATTGTATTTGAGTGCACTACGGGTCGATACAACCTGCATTCTTCGATAGTATAGCCCTGCTCGTGAATAATTCTGCAAGAGAAGAGGGCTATTAGCACATCCAGTCAGTGATGATGACTTCTCAGAGAACAGGGATCGAAATCAGGCCCGAGCACGATATCGACGATACACGCCCAGGAATCAAGAATTTCAGCTCCAATGCGGATCGTCTTCCAGGAAGGTTCAATTCACGGCTTCCCCTCAGCCCAGAGTTGGCGCGGTCCCATCCGTCTCATCCCGTATCATTGGAACCCGAGACTCGATCTTCCGGATATTTCGGATTATCATCGACTCTTTCGAAAGAGAATAGTCACAGAGGCAGCAGTACACGGGAGAGGTGTCGATGCCATCGGTTTCTGAAGCGCCGCGACTGGTCCTCGAAGGCTAAGCATGGTTAGGATTGACATTCCGAATAGAAGCGACCTCAGCGTCCAATTTCCTTCATTACAGCGGCGTGCTCGACCGACATTACAGACAATTAAACGTCGCGTCGCCTCCCAATGATAATTGGTACGTATCCGCCATCAACACAGGCTCGACGGGCGAACAGGCGGTCGGCTTTGGGATCGCACCTCATTGAGCTCTCGGTGAATTCTCGCTTCTGAGACGAATCTCCATTATTCCGTGGTGAATTATCACCGACAAGCGAGCTATCCGTACCAGAGAGAGCCCCGCGGAAAAAAAAACTTTGGACATCTCGGAGGTTGAAGAATCACGATTGGAGCGTTCGGAGTGCCGAATATCGCGATAGGGAAAATCGGCAATCGGCGACGCAATCGGATGAGAAATTTTATCCGAAGGAGGGACGCGAGAATTCCCCTACCCGGGAGAATCCGATCACAGAAGGAAACAACTAAACAAGAGCTCAGGGCTCATGGACACTCTGCTGCGACGGCGGATCGGTCGGAAACGGACTCAGTTTGTCAGTGTTTCTACAATGGAGGGCGACGACGAGCTCGGATAGCCTCCGCGTACGATGGATGATCCCGATATTCGGTCCCGTCTTTGCAATGTGTTCCGTAGCCAACATTCAGTTCGTATGCTGCCAACCGCGAGTCGATCACAGCCTTGGCATCTGGTCAGCCACAACATAAACCAGTCGGCCATGAATGTAAACACGCCTTCTAGAGATGAGCGCCACGTTAGGGAGCAGGTTTCGGGAAACGGCCCGCTCATGCTTTCCAAACTGCATACGGCATCGATCGTTTTTCAAGGCGGAAGAGAAAATAATTCATAGCCTCTCGCAGCACACTTAGTATTCCGATCGCCGAACAGAGACGATGCTGATCGCAGTTGGAGAAATCGATCGGAGAGCCCTTCTCCATCTGTTTGACGCGTAGAGATCGAATTTCCAGAGAGACTCTCGATGAAGATCAATTCAGATCTGCATCGGGTTATGCACGATTGTCGATGGCTCGCTTCTCTATAGCTCTCGAAACCCAAAATACTCGTTCATTCTTCGCAAGCTCCCAATGATCGTTAGGGTACGGGGTTGTGCTGGCGAATGCTAGGCCGAGGATGCCAAATCGGTCCGCACAAGCTCCCATCGTCGCTCAAAATAGTAGATACTCAAACACAACACAGATCCTCTGATTCCGAATCGCAGCCCCGATCGCTTCAATCCTGCTAAACATGTCGCACGGAGAAGGTAAGACTCCCGCGTAAATTCATGATCTCGTTGTGACACTCTCGGAACCATCATTTCAGCGGATACCTCGGCTCCTCCAAACGGATTCCGAAGATCCGGATGTGTTCGACATAATTAATAGTCACGGATGCTCTCATCTACCGAGGAGGCATGCCATTCGTGAAGGTTTTGAGTTTGTCTGTCAGCGGAGCTCATCCAGATCTCGCGTTCCATGCATGAAAGTCGAAACTCGACTCTGTCCTCCAGCTCTATGCTTGTGCGACTGCACTGTTTTGCTACCTAACTATCTAGATATCCGTTTATCCGATGGGGCCAACATTCGATCCTATATCAATTGATCTCAATGAGGGAGCTTCCGCACCACCCATCTAAGCACATCGGACACTCAGCCTTTTCTTTCCACTCGCTCGATGCTCGATCTCGCACGATATGAATGTCGCGATGCTTTCGAGCATCAGTGGTTTGCGTGCTATCAACAAATGCAGAGCGAGACGCTTTCGCAGTCTGCTCGATGGATAGGCGTGAAGCTATCGGGTTGAACAGGCGGCGATTCAGTCGATGCATCGAACTTCACATGATTCCATTAAAGTCGGATCCAAGCTCCGCGAACATGCATTGAAGCACCTGAACCACACCGGAATGCATTTGTAGTGGGAGAGTATTGCAGTCTCGGTCGCACGAGTGTTTGCATCGATTCGCGTCCAGAATATTATAGGAGTCTGAGCGATTGATAGAAAGATAAGCTCCGACATAGTCCTCTCGATGTAATACGAACTTCGAGAACTCAGTCCACCTTCATGGGCAGGTTCATTGTGTCCGAGAGTTCATTCGGGTCTTGAGATCCTGCACAGAATTCTGTGAATCAGCAAGGATCTAGGGGATTCTATCATGTCCGCTGTGTAGGCGCTCGGAATCGAGAATCATCGGAGCCCGCTTTACAATGTTATACAATGTGGATTTATGACGCTGGATCCCGCTCAATTATCGACGGAATCGAGCATTATAAAACGGAGCATAACTTCCGAATAAACGAGGGGTCAGCGCGAGGGGATCATCGGAAAGTTCTGCGCATGAGTCGGTGTTTCGAGTCCGATACTTTCGAGTCTCATACGGAATCATAAACTCTGATGGAATGCATTCAAGTCGTTGATTCCCGAAAATACATGCCCATAGCCCAAGACAGCGGTATGACTGAGCGAGAAATTCGGTAATCTCCCCTCCCAGATCGGAAACACTCGTTAGCGGCGCCTTGTTGACCGAGCGGAGTCATCTGGTAGATCCCAAGCTCAGAGCTCTTGCGAACGAGAAAGTCTGGAAATTCATGTTAAGCAAACTCGGCCATGCATACAGGGCAAATCATCGAGCTACAAAAAATCGGGAGACTCAAACTTACTTCATCTGTTTGACGATAGTGCTCTTTCCCGACTCTCCCGCACCTGAAAAATGATCAAGTTGGAGTCAGAAAAGGATTTTCCAAGCCTTAATTTATTTAGCTTCGCATCTTTCCGAGTTGATACAGCGGTGGGTTTCCACAAATTTCCCAGCACCACCCGGCTTGATTTATGCTTGGGTTTCGAAAGTTCTTCAGCATTATCTCTCATCCCATCTCGGAGCAAGAAGTGGAGCAATCGCGTAGGGACGATGCATCAGTCGATTGGGGAGATATGAGACGGAGTGCGGAGTGTTGTCTCATTCTCAGCAGTCTGAGGACTTCTGCTGTTTAGGTATTGATTTTCTCACAAATTCGCAGCAGCGAAATCGCACGATCGAAGCCGCCTAGGATGTCGAGATTGCTCCGGTGCACCGCGATGGCAGCACATGCATAAGATGCGCGATTCGCCTGAAACAAAATCCGTGAACCATCCAGCAGGAACGACCCATTCTATCTGCAAATTAAATCTTGCAATCTATTTGATTGTCTCCGCTTAAGCATCAGACTCGGTAGTGCCTCCCGAGCATTTACCCGCGATTAGAGCCGCTCCGCTTCGATATTGAAGTGAAGCGACCCGGGCTGATGGCCGACTCCGGCAACGTTCCCTTCGTTTATTCTCTGACAAAACCCGCAGCGAAGCCCTGCGGGGATCGAAGTTGGCATCTTCGGCCGCAAGTTGAGCAAGGCCATGCGCAAAGCCGGATGTCGCTGTGCTAATAGCACTTTTTCGCCTCTTTCGAATTCCTTCCACTGTGCGCCGATGAATTGGTGGCTTCGACTTCTTCCACTCGGCAGCAGTGTGCTTTCGTTTAGGTGCGCGGCACTCCGTGCAGAGCGCGCCGTCGATCTGAAGTTCGAGCCGCTCCCTGGGCCTGCTTAGAAGCTGTTTCCCGCAGATCTGGGCACGCGGGCAAGCTATATATAGATAGAAAGAAGCTGACTTCACCCCCGTACCGCTCGAGTAGATACTCGTTCGTTCGCCGGTTTGTACCCTACTTGCTTCGTTCACACCCGTTCGTTGGCGTACGAGGGAACCTTCCATGCCGGGAAACTGCAACGACGCGTGGGCCTCGTCGAGATACTCGTTGTCAAGTCGTGATCATTGTTGTTGCATAATTCTGTGGTGTTTTGTCTTTGCACCGAAAGCAGCGACACTCTCATTGGCTGTCACATGGACTCCAGAAAGAGATTCCAAGAGAATGATATGGCTGGAAATAGCCGAGCGCTTAGAGCTCGATTCGTGCGATTTCCGCTCCACCGCGAGGGTCGAAACAAAAATTATTTCCGCGACGAATCTTAGGTCCCAATTTCGTCAACATTGATGCTTCCAAAAGCTCAATTAAGTGGACGGGACCTCGGTTCGCTACCGCTCACTGGTGCTTGTAAAGTGACTCTTTTTTTTTGGCAACGGTTTCGCCCTCTTCTTCAGTTCTGCTGAACAGAAGAAAAATTTCTGCTGCTGAGATCGTTGAACGGGTTTCTCAGCTTTCCGCCCGTTCCTTCGTTGCTCCGCGAGTCTGTCCGTCTGTCTGCTCGCCTGATACACGGGGATGACCGTTGAGAAACCAGCGAAAGCGGGAGAAACCACTTCTGGTTCCGCTCTTCTGAGTCTCATGACTTTTAGCTGACAGAAAGCAAAAATGTCCAAGGGAGTCTCAAGATTCATTCAGGTCATGAAGAATAAAACGGTATATTGGCTAGCTCTTGAGTAAACGAATTGAGGAGGGATTTCCCGCGAGAAAATCGGTACGCAGAGCAAACTTGGAGCGGGTTCCGAATTTGAGATTCCGAAATTCACCTTCTTACTCCGAGACTGGGCTGTGACAATGAATATCAATGAAAGAATGGGAAACCCAAGCTGCGCGGTAGGCGTTCGGAACTCCTGTGGAAACACTGGGCTTCGGGAGTCTACCTTGTCACTGCCGTTGATCTAAGAGCGAATCGGATAATCGCCAGAATCGAGATATCATTGAAGATGCGGCATTCCGCTCGAATGACAAGTAGACTCCTTGACCGTCATTGTCTCTCTCTCTTTCTGGTAAGGTTATGTCCAGCACGCTAGACTGCATTTCCGACTTCTCGGGCTCATCGGCGGCTGACGACGACAAAAATAGTTGTCCATCGGAGAAAATCAAATCACTTGAAATCCATTTCTCGCCGTGGGACGGGAATGGCATGCTCCGGAATCCGGAACCCTCGGTTCCGTCGACTCTCGGCTACGATTTCAATCTTGAAATACGATCCACTCCGACGCTCGTCATGTCTCGGCTACATCGGACTCTAATCCTAACAGCAACGCTAAAGCCAGTTTAATTCGACCACCGTTCCATGCGGTCCAGAATCGCTCATGAGAGATCAAGAGCTTGATCGAGATTTGCCACTGAGAGGAGGGGATTATCCATGGACATTCCTCCCCGACGGGAAGGTTGTTTCCGGCTCAGATCCCCGATCCGAAAGTCTAGGACGGGAGATCGCACGGAATCGGAACAGGGCGCGCTCGAGCCATTCGGAACTCGACTGGAGATGAGCGAATACCTTCCGCGCACCAGACCGGAGCAATCGAATACAGGATGGAGGGTACGGAACAGTGGCTCAAGAGTGATCGCAACCTTCCCAAGTAACCAGCCAGAGTTGCACGGCCCCTTCCACGACAGCTCGCGGCTCGCGGACTTGCTGAATGATCCTGAGCATGGAGCAACGTCTCGCGCAGACGGGAGCAGCACTCCCTGCAGGCAAGAGACTGCGTGAACCAATGTTCTGTTCGCGTGAGCTCCTCGAAAGTGAGCCGAAGGAAGTTCTCGAGGGGCTTCATCCGATATGGGGTTTGTCCTCTCCGTCTATGGAACACGCAGTCTAGAAGGTAGCCTCAAGAAGCTGGAAGTTGTTACCCGTGACGAGGCTCATGGAACCAATCGGCGGCCGGCGCGTAGCTACTCAGTCTTGCTTCGTTGACGAGGAAGTGCAACGCAAGCACTCTCTCTCGCTATGCAGACCAATTATGGTGACGATTATAGCTCGCTTTACCGTCTCCTCGTATCCAGGCGAAGCCCGAGACGAATTTCTAAGTTACCAACTTTCCGCGAATCTGAGTAACATCATACCCCACTAATTTTGCTGGAACTCTAGGGGATTTCGACCCTCATCTCGAATGAGCTCAGGATCCGGATGGTATAAGAATCTCTGAAACATTTTTGAGTACCCTTTTTATTCTGGCCTCCCAAAATGAAATACCCATTCTTCAAAATCTCACGAGTTACATCGAGACGCAACAAGTGCTCGGCTCAGTTCCGAATTACTCAAAAATCCGTCCTAGAGCGATTAACTCGCTCGCGACTCAGCGTTGACCGCTTGGCGGTTAACGGTAAGCGTTTTTACGTGGCTCCAGCAAGAGAAGCGACTCGACGGATTTTTTCGAGAGTTTCCATTTTTTCCGGAGGCAGAGGCCTCTCAACAGACACTCGCGAGCAACTCACCCAATAGCAGTAACTTCACTTCGCGAGCTTGACGTTCGCCGTCCGCTCTGAGATCTCTGTCTATCTTTTTGGATCGCTCAGCGGCTTGCTTGTCGGCGCTGCTTACAGCGCAGCCCATCTCGCCGGTTCGAAGCTCCTACTTTTCCGTAGTCCCAAGTTTTACTCCTCGTGAAATCAAGCGTAGCACAAAGAGCTGAACACCGCCCAGACTCAAGCTGGGCTCATGGACATCATTCGAGGTCGAACACCGTCACAAACCCCAGATCACGGGAGCATCGCAGTTCTGTTCTTCACTGCCACCAGCTCATCCACAATCTTCTATCGCGCCATTTTGCGCTCGAACAGCCGCTCGAGGATCGTTCCGCCATGCGATGCATGTGACGCGGCTGTGGTACCGATTTGCTCAGGATGGGTACCACGTTCGCACCGTATATCCCTTCGCACCGTCTGGGCCGGAAGCGATTTCCTCGCAAGCGTCAAGCAGGTCTCGGCAAGCCTCAAAAAGTATTTGGACTCTGGCTCCGAGCGGCGTCCTCAAATCCACACTCCCCAATTCGGTCGGGCTTGGCAAGAACAACTCGCAATCGGCCGTCCGTGCTCATCGGGAATACATAGGACCGGTTTGGAGGCTTGAGCGCTTTGTAGCTCTCTCTTCCGTGAGAGTTCTTTCGCTCCTTCTCACGTATGCTTGAGACGGCGTACAATCGCTCGAGTCTTCAGTATTCGGGAAACGGGCGCAGGAGGTTCGCGGGTGAAAGTTTTCCATGGAAAAGGTGATACACCAGAGGGGGGAGGACCATGATGCTGATGATCTATGCTGGAAATTATCCCGGATCCGGGCGCTCGGAGAGGACGTACTGATCTATGAGTTGCTGGCTCTCGAAGAAGCTACGCAGGGATTTGTAATTTGTAAGAGCACAGAGGAACCAGAGAGTGCGCGCGCAGATTTCAAAAGCAATATGCCACGTAATAGGCAGACGATCTCGAGTATGTGCTAAAACATCGGCAGTCCTTAAGTCGTTGGTATTCGAGTAACCAGCTGTATATATACAAGAAGTGATTGTCCACCATATCAGGCGTTTTCCCTTGTCTGAGTCGCACCCGAGGAGCCAGTGAGACTCTTACAGATCCCAGAGGGGAAACTGAGCTCCACTCCCAGCGGAGCCTTATCATGACAAGTTTGCTTTCAACCTTCAGCAGTGATGAAAATTTGAAGACGGAAGGACTCAGCTCCGCCAGACGTTTCGATGTATACTACACGCTATGCGTCGCTACGATGCATTCATTTATCGACGATAAAGGAAGTCCGCCTAGTCCTTTTCCAGCTCTCTGGGCTACCGCGGTCCACCAGAGACTGCGATATCGACCGATCACTGAAATTCGTGAACCAGGCCGACATATATTGAGACCTCGTGGAATCTTGCCGAGAAAAAAAACGTCCCCCGGGCGAATGTAGTATCGAGTGGGTCTCGCGCTTTTGATTCAGCACCTGCTGAAAAACTAGGAGAGGGGGCCTTTCCCTGCTCCCAAAAAAGAAAAAAGAACTAAATAGATATTTCTCTATTACCCAATCTGTTTAGCTCCTCGCTGCAATCGGATTATATGGCCCTATTCCACTGTTCGTGGCTATTCACAATGCAGGATACTGTGGTGCTAGAACAGAACATGTCTTCTCTCTGGTCGCGGGGAGAAACAATCGTGTACGCCAATCCAAATCGCGCGTCGAAAGGATTAGAGTGTCTCAGGACCTCCGATGCTCCAGGAATCTGGCTGGACTCTCATCAGCAATTCGGATCGCCTTGGATCCAGATCGACGACAGTTGATTCCGAAGAGATCGCCCCCCGGCGGTGGACGGAAAAAAGGCTGAAAACAGCCAGCTGCAGAAGCGAATGAAGAGCTGAAATGATTAGGGAAGAGAATAGAAAAAATTTCGGGGGACAGAAGATCAACAGAATTCTTGCTGCAGAGGATCTCGATCGAGAACCAACGGGGGATCGGGGCAGCCGTCAGCGGTTCTCTACCATCTGGGCCTGACCTTGTGGGGGTCAGCTAGGCCGCTCTTGTGCTGACTCATCCCTTCGTATAAATCAATTTTCCGTTGGCTGAAATGATTCAGATCGGAGATGGGCCGCGATTAGCGGTCAAGCTGAGTGACCATGATACTAGGGGAAAATCCTGGAGGAGGGAAAATTATTCCGATAGAAAGAGCAATGGACACTCGTAGCGGATCCTCGCAAGTCCTCGGGATTCAAATATTAACGAGCAGTGTTGAGTCGCGATCCCTGGTCTTCAGGCCAATTTATTGTACGATGCTCAGCTTTTCGAACACCGCGAACGTTAATTCTCGTACCGGTTGAACGCCGTTTCGACTGATTATTCTGAAGCGAAAATCGCAGGCTCCTATTTGTGAACGCTCGCTTCCTTGCATACGATACGGAAAGTTTGTCTTGGATTTCGGGCCCCCTCATATATAAATCCAGCATGCTGGGATGAATCCCAAACCGTGGCGGCGACTGATAAACTCTTGAATCGCTCCTCCTAAAGAGAAATTACCTCCAATGAGCCTCTCGGAATGAGACTGAACGCGAACACGAAAAATGATCTTCGCGCTGGGCGGAGACGGAGCGCTGTCGTACGCCAAATCTGAGTGGTGACGAAGTGATAGCGCCCCACGTGAAGTCTTTTCTGAAGTCCGCGTTGTGGTTCGGTTTGTGATACGTTCCGTGAGTGAGGAGGACGTGCTCACCGCAAGCAACTAGATCTGACTTCGAGAGTGTCCGTCTCTCTGGAACGTAGAGCGCGCTAACTCGCGGGGAGCCTACCGGATCACGCAAGAGAGGACTGCAAGATATGTCGTTTAAAAAAAATAAATCTCAGCGAACCGCAAACGCGTCCGAAGTTCTACAGGTCCGATACGTAACGTTGGCAACCGACCCAACAACCCGTAGTCGCTTCGTAATCCCGTCAGGTGCGACATGTCATTCGGATTCTGACTAGTCTACTGCCAACAACAACTACCAGGACTATGAAGTACCACAACTCCAAGTCACAGTACTCCCTAATGGGATCCAGTTGTACACTTGTGGCTCTGGTGTTCGTCACGATAGCCTTCTGCACACCGTATTGGCTGGTTTCGGACGGTCTTAATCCTGGACTTCGGAAGTTCCGGAGATTAGGTCTCTGGGAGGTTTGCTTCGACCATTTCTTCGACCAGCACTACAGGTGAGTTCCTGGACGAAGAGTCCTGGTCTTCGTGATTGGTGAAACTAATAAGCGGAGCTTCGTGAACACTTCCCCCCGTCGTCGACCATAGAACGGGCGAATATCTATGTCATTTCTACGGCGACACTTATTCCGCGGTTTTCTGAATATCCGTGCGGGTGTCCATCGATTACTTATTATTCCATTGAGTCCCGCGCTCATCAAACCTCGGCAGAGGAAGAACTACCCTTGGATATTATGGGAATTCGGTAACGGACACTGAGCTGGTGTTTTTCTGATGGAGGCCTTGAAGTTGGAGAGAGGAAAAAAACATTCGGAGCACCGTTTGAAAAACGATTCAAGACGAAAGCGCTTTCTTTGACTTGAACATTGACGATGCAGAGCCATTGAGGGGCATCCCTCCGACTGGCACTCGGCGAGTGCGCCTTCGGAAACTTAGTGACAGTACTTCGAGCGATCCGCTGAAATTGAAATACTGAAAACCTCGACTGGGCATGTTTTTCCTCCTCCTTGTGGAGACATTTCGCAAGGCTTCACTATTCCGTCTTTCTGGCGGGGTACTGGCGAAAAGTCAGCGAGTAGACCAAAAATTACGAACTAATGCTGAAACCATTCACGGGCGAATTCCGATCGCTCGCAAGTCACTCGCTCGCTCGCGCAACAGCGAGTTGAGCGGATAGCGGAAATTCTTCTTCGCCTGTGAATTGGCCCAGTTTTCAATATTGCCGACAAGTTAGCGATGAGCCCCCGCCGTGGAGACACGGCTCAAAACGACACCAGCTGAACTCAGTTCACACCTGACTGCCTCGGAATTACCTCTCGAAACGAGCACCAGACAGTCTGCGATCACGCGATTACTTACATTCCACAACAGCCGGAAATGGAGACATCAAACGAGGACCGGATCGATTCTTGGAGTTCCCCTGATGCTCTGCTTTTGACAATTCACTGAGAGCTCTGGATAGATCTCTCACGCATCGTGGAATCGCTCTCCGACATCTCGGACGGTGCGGGGAGCGGGCTCGAAGACCTCCGCCGAGAAACTCATAAGCGTTCCCAGGGTTCGATAGCACGGGCAAAGACTCAGTGAGCCCCGGAATCACAGAGAAGCTCCCGATGTTGAAATGAGCCGGATCATACCTTGATGCCCTGCAACCTGCCGATTCAGGTATGCCGAGAATGTGGCCTGCGGAAGGGCGATAGCTCAAGAGAGCTTTAAATCGCGCATGGGTCGGCACCGAGACGCAGATGGGGTCTGAGGACGCATTCTCAAGCTGTTGTTCTGTTCCACCTTCTGTCCCAGGTTCTGACCCCAGACGATTGTCCCGCTTGCGTGAGAAAATCGGGCTGACGGAGCAGAGGTTACCCTCTTCTCCCGAGTGGGCATCTGGCTTCGGCAGGTTTGGGTTGGACATCCCGAGTTGCTCTGCGAGCGGGGATTCGGCTCGGAATTTTCGTACAAGGATAGTCTTTTGTAGAGGGGGCAATGACTCATTCAAAATGATACTATCCGATGATTCGCTTGAGCTTAGTCAAAGCACTCTGATACAGCTGAAATGCGGTCCTGACACCTGTTGAGCTCCGCACCCGCCGGCTCGTGGTTTTTGAATGGACGAGACTGTCGATGACGCTCGAACGCAAATCGAAGCGCTTCCTGCGAATGAAATTCAGCGCTCAACCTTCAGAGAATGTCACGGCGGGTCGAGCGTCGTTCTCCATAGAAGTGTCGCACGCAGGATAGCGTAACTGTCCCAGAAAATCTGACTGGGAGGCCGCCTTGGGTTTCTCTGCCGAGGGAAACAAGCGTTGACCTGAGACAGTGATCTTTCGGCCCGACACGTTTTGTTGTGATCAAGTCCGACGCTGCTGAGTCTCATAGTAAAACTGAATCACATTCGAGGAACAACATGTTCTTCGACGTCTTGGCTGAATTAGCGAAGAACCATAATACAATGAAGAATTTCATGATGACTTCATGTTTTCAAGAGAACTTCTTGGTATTTGTTGAAAACCTCCCGATCAGGAACAAGCCATCTGTGGCTACACGACATCTTTATCCTTCCGCGTCAGAAGAAGGAAGCCAGCGATGTATCTCGAGAAGTGTGGGTTGCTATTCTGGAAGCTAGGCACGCAGGAAGCTCATGCATTCTATGATACACTGGGCTCGGGACGCAGCTTCTGAGCCGACGACACAACGATACGTCCCGTGCGTGAATTTCGTCGTAGCCGACTTCACTAATCGCAGTGTCTTTCTGACTCGAGCCCCAATCGGAGGATTATATTTTAATGAGCAAAGAGCTCCACGCGATTCCTCCGCTCCAGGAGGCGAGATAGAGAGGCATTTGTTCCATGATTTCCGCATTGAATGAGCTGACTTCCGGATATTTGACAGCTCGTCGAGAAAGGCTCTGCAACTTTGGCATCGAGATTTGATATACGAGTCAATATGAAGCAATATCCTCTTTGTTGAGGAAGTGGCAGAATACACCGAGCCGACCGACTCCGTAAATCTTCCGGAAAGGAGCAAGCCAAATCCCGTGCCGCATCCTGTTTTACCTCTCTCGACGAGGGATGCGGATGGGAACAAATCGCCTCCGTTCAAGGGCTCGGGCGTATCCAAGTGGCTACGACCGCGGCACATCGCAAGCCTTCGGATCGTGCTCGTCTCGCTTGAGTGATTCCAGGGACTGCTCTCCTCTACCAGATCGGGGTCTTCCGAGACAAACTGTCTGCGCTCGTCTTTCTCCGCGGAATGCCGATAATCATGCGATTTCTCCCTAGGTGTCTGATTGCGCGGGAATCTCCTACGGAGCGGATATAAATCATGATCCCCTTCTTTGCAGATACGATTACGAATTCCTTGGCTGCCGATGGATATTCCACAGAGAGCTCCGTATACTTCGACCCTTGCTCGAGCCTCCGTTCTTCATCGCGACTCAGACGCTTTTCACAATCGGCTTCACGCTACTCCTGCTGGCGTCGATATGCCTCATGATCGTTCACGTCTGCGTTCCAATAGAGATGGAGCTCCGGGTCACACAAATAACCGCGGCCTGTCTCATCCTATCGGCGCTCTTCAACTCGATAGCAGTCATTGTATTTGGAGCTTTGGGTGACGGGCGAGACTGGATGCCCGACCCTGACCACAACTACCTCTCGTGGTCGTTCGTATTGGCAGTCATCGGCACCGTGGTCGAGTACGTGGCGGGCATACTACTCCTCGTCGACAGCAAGCATCTACGGAAAGATATCGAGGCCGACGACAGAAGTTTCCAAATGCAACCGAGACGACAACCGACGGGACATGACGGACCACACGTCATCCGTGACGTTGCTGTTAAATGAGACAGGGCAATAACAAACCAGGATCATAAATGTGACGGACTGCATGATACGTGCCACCGGACGTGCATATTGTTATGGCAGATATCTAGTTGTGCATAATATGAATGGTGCTAATATTGATGATGATTATATAAGAAAATGTAAATTGAGACAAAGAATCTACAATACAATATAGTAAAAACTACTCCGACTCATATTCTTCTTTGAGCATCAATGCCCCATCTCAGAGATCGCAATCGATGGGTTTTGATCCCCCAACTTCGAAATAGTGATCACTGATCATTATTCCCCACCTCCTGTCCTATGCTGTGATCATGAGGAGCTCGATGGCTAGGCATCTTTCTCGTTGAGTTTCAACTAGAGCTGGATTGACGAAGCCCGCCGTCTTGGGAGTATGTCGAATCTCAGATCGCGCGGAGAAAGCCTGTCGAGCAGGCTGCACCGACCAGAATCTGTGAGAGAATCCTAGAAAGATCACGTGGAAACCGAGGCCTGGATCCGCTCGGATGACTAAGGCCAGCGATATTCGGGTTTCATCAGAAGTCACACGCTCGCTCACTCAGCAGTCCTTGTTTCGATTGCTCGTGCGATCATGTACGGGTGCTATGGTTCCACGATATCACGTAAGTTGCAACATTCCGACGGAGTATACGGGGGAAATCTCCGAGAGAAATGCTCCAGTTTTGACGAAGCATGCAGGTTGACTCAGACATCCTGAACGCGGAGGATATCCGGGACAGGTCCGACCTTATTCCTCTCTTATCAATGAGGACGCATTTCTTGAGTGTTGTTGAGGTACTGCTGAAATTCTACTGCGCGCGACTCCCATCATGATTTCGATCGACACCTGGATGTTCTCATGGTTCTCATGCAGGCATGTTCGCTCGCAGATGCGAAACCCTCAGGCCCAGCTGCGAACATTTCTCCTTGGCGGAATTTTTGGAGTTCGAAAAAAGAGAGGGGAGGTTTAATTTCCGAGGGTTTCGGAAAAGTCGAGTCCCTATCTTTTTCGATGGGATTTCAGACTCCGCAAAAATGCCAGATCGACAGAACAACGCCGGCAGCCTTGTGGTTATTGTCAGAAGGCGTTGGTGATAAAATTACCTACTGAAGCTGGAAAAATGATGTAAGCATCACCGTGAGCTGGATTCGCTTCGATGAGCCTAACGAAGTAGAAATCATGTCCCGACTGTCAGGAGCCTGACAGTAAACGTCGTCGAAACGGGGTCAGCGCCATCCAGGGCTGCGATTCTACCTAGAATTTCACGTGTTCGCTGGTAAGGCGAACGTCATGGAGTTACTATTCGTGATTCCTTCGGTTCTGCCTGATGTTTTGCTCCGGCTCGACTCCCGATCCAATCAATGCAGTCAGCAAGCACGTAATCATATTATCTTGTAAATCATATCATCAGATCCCACGCTAAGGAAACGATTTATCGTTCTGCGTAGCTTGACGTCCATCGACGGCACGGGATCTCGAAGTGGCGAATTCATCGACTTCGGATTCTTGGACCTGCGTAGCACCTTGAAAAAGCTTCTCTCGATCGGCGAATCGTATGAGTCGGAACCCCAATCGACAGAATGACCGGGGGAAATCTGAGGAATTCCTACTAAAGATATACACCGCCGTCAGGAGACTTCCCCACGATGAGTGCGCAGTGCTGGGATGGAAGGCGGAGAGTACTAATTACCCGTAGAGATAGGAATCCTCCTTCTCTGACTGAGCACAGATCTCCCGCCACAATTAAACATACCTATATTATATCTAGCGGAAATCCATTCAACCACAGATGCCTCCGAAGATTCGAATTTATCTGAAGGAAGAGCGTCGCACTTTGTAGATTTCCATGATCCGCCCAAGCAGTATATATTGCTTCCAGCGATATATTTAAACGCGAATCCACAAATCCACGGTGGTCAAGAGTGTTCGGTTTTCGATATCTCAGATCGGCTCCCGTGATAAATTCGATCGAGCCATCGAACGACGGATGGAATTCCGATTGAATCGAGCAGTCTGTTTTTAAAAAGCTAGCTCGCAATGACTCACAGAGTCATTTAGCTCAGGAAGTAGCTGAACAGAATTCAGCACTCGGTCATAGCCCATGGGGAGCGAGAGTTATACCCACGGTCTCTCCCCAGGAATGTTGATGAAAAACGTCCCTCCGATGCAGGACCTTACTCTCCTCAACACTCCCAGGTCGGGTCGAGGGCTTTCAGCCTGTTTGCATGCGGTTCGCGAGCCGATCAGCTCAATCTTGCATGCTTGTGTGTGAGGTAAGACGAATCTGTTCTCGCGGTCCAGCCTTCATTTTATCTATATTCACAAGCAGGAGAAGCTCCAAGGCTCCCCTTGAGATTCCGTGGCTAGGTAAAAGTTTACTTCGACCGTCGAGTCATGAGACCTCATCATGCCCTTCATTCCCGTCAAGACCGAATGGCGGCCTCCCACAAGAGGTACTTCCTATAAGGAGTACTCGATCGTAGGGACAGGCGCGTGATTCGGAGGAACATCTCATCTTTGTTTCTGCGTTGGTGCGACTAGGTGTGTATCGTGGCCGCGTCACTGCTTCGATGGCTTGTCTCACCGAGAGGAGTCATTTCCCTGCCATCGGAGCGGTAAACTCACCCACAATCGCTTTCATTCCAAGTCAGTTCGAGTTTTGTGTAAGTCCTCCATGCATACGCTTGGTATCAGCTACCATGCATACTTTGATTTCCATACTGTTCTGATTTCCGCCCCTTGAAAAGCCGCTTATCCGTAGATGAGCGAGGCAAGATGCTTGCATCTCTCGAGGGAGCATGCGGTACAATCGTGAATTTCACCCTTCCAGACTCCTTGTCTGAAGCCTCTATTCTGGAATCAGACCTCATATGGACTTCCATCAATTCATCGACGATCTTGACGGACGCTGCGGGATCCAATATAGAATGACGTCTCTTACATTTCACCGATTCGGTTCGTCAGCAAGTATCGAAGTCCTCCGTTCCGTAGATCGGACAAACTGACTCAGGGCTACCAAATCAGTCATTGCAGGGCTAATTGACGATTTCGAGGTCCTCTGTGTCGAGGTTCTACTGTGAGTTTCCCGCTGAAGCAGCGCAATCAATGCGTCTGCGGTGCTCTCGTTCATTCGGTCTTGAGGGGTGTCTCATCTTCTGACGAGTCATCGATAAGCATCATATCTCCCAAGCCGAATGCGTTAGGTTGTTGTTGTTGCTGTTGCTGCTGCTGCTGTAGCTGCTTTTGCTCCTCACCTGGACTGTTCTCCGGTGGCGTACAGCGCTCACACGAAACTCGTCGTTTTGGAGCGCCGTTTTCGTTCTTTTTACTTGCGTCCACGATACCGTCTCGCGAACTCATTTCACGGTGCAGACCGATACCCTGATCGAGCGAGAGTCGGTGCGCGAAAAATCGGTTCCTGCTGCGCTCCTGGTCCCTTGTATGGTCCAGAGAGCGTTTCTGTCCCGGCGATATCCGCACCGGGTTTTCTTTGTCTTTATTCACGACCGAACGGTAAGATAACTTCGATGGGTATGGCTGGTTATAGAACCAGTCGTATCGGAATGGTTCGTGATGGAAGCGACGCTTGTCCATCTCATCGTGAGCATGAGTGCGCGCTTGTTTCGATGAGGTCAGCGGAAGCGATGGATCCTCTTTCTTCTTGAACCTCGGCTTCTTCTCGTGACCTTCACTCACTGTCTGTTCGGGTTCTGAGGTCTCCCCATTCTCGGAGACAGCCTTGAATCTTGAGGACGTGGGCTGTCCCTGATCCACGGACAGGCGATAACTTCTCGTAAAATCGCGGGGATGGTCCGTTTCGGGCGTTTGCGGCAGGTAACACGTCGGATAAGGTCTCGAGGTCTTACGCTGCACCGGTATGACGCTTTCGTACGTGTTGTCGCTCTTCGCAGACTTCTGAGTGTCGAGGTTCTCCGAATTCGTGACAGAATTGTTATCGGAGTCGAATTGATTGAAACGAGACATTGAATTGTCGTAGATCCCGTCGGGCTCGCCTGAACTCTGAGTGGAGACTATGGCGTGACTGGATAACGGCGAAACGCCGACACAGTTAGCGGTCTTGACCTGGTCGTCAATGAAACGGTTGAGGCTGAACGTCGGGTCCGAGTTCGGAGTTCGCGATAACCTTCGGTCGAGATTTTGCGCAAGTTTCACTGCACTGGCCTTCCTCATGTGCTCTCCTATTTTCTTCTTTGCCGAGGAGCTATGGCTGTAGCGTTTTTTGTCCGGACGCAGTTTTATTGTCCTGGAGAGAAGAATGAAAAACTCTCGTTTAGGAGTCGCTCCAAAAAAAACTTTTTCGGGCTGATCCACACAGCCAAGGTTTAACGTCCCGGGTACTGTTATTCACATTGCTTCCGAGGACGAATCCATAGAGCAAATGTACCCAGGAGGATCAAGGCCGAGTACCTGCATATTTTTCCGGCAGCAGAGATCGAATAGGAGTCGCTCCAAGCAAGCTCGAACAAGGCGACCAATTTGATCGGAGAAAGAAACTGTCTCAAAGACATGAGAGACTCACCCTCGACTGATCGGGGAAGGCGAGTCCCCGGTATTGTAAATCGAAGATTTGAAACTGGAACTGTCTTGTGCCCCTATGTGCATTCGCATGTTGTCCGTGAGTTGACGGAAAACGCTTGGTTGGTTTTTCTCGGGATGGAAAACGATGATGTAGACCTTCGGAAATTCAAAGAACGTAAATTCGGAGTCTGCATCGAGCATCGACATCCTTCAGAATGATTTTCAATCAAAGCACAATTGTCAATGTAGGGAGGAGGCGCGACTCCCCTCCCAGGTTTGTACTTTTTATCAAATTCCGATACCCCATATCAGGGCCCGAGGTTTACCGGAAATGTCCGTTTAACCGGGCAGAGGTGAAATGCTGAACTTTAATCCCCGGGCTCCATGAGCGGAAAAAGGAAAAAATGAGCTTTCGAAGGTTCCGACCGTCTCACCTTGTGCAGAAACATCAGAGTAAGAGCCACATGCGCTGTCGAGCTCAGCGAGAGCGCGAAAGCTACTGATTTATACGGAGAGCCGAAATAGATCGCTAGGAAGGAGATCCATATAACAACGGTGGCGTACATCGTGAAACCTGGTGGGACGACGGGGCTTTGATGAGTCGAGAACTGATAGAGAGAATCATAATATCAAGAGCGGGGGGTAAGGGGAAGACTTCTTCGAGTTACTGCCCTTTGCGTCTTCATGCGACATTAGCTCGAGACGGAAAAGATTAGATTTCAGAGCGGATTTGTGGGGTACTGAGCTCGGCTTTCCTCGCAGCTCATGCAGCAGCAGTCCGTACCGAGGAGATCACCACAAAAACCTGCTCACGGGGCTCGCACGAAGCGTTCTCAGCTAACGAGGAGCATCCAGCTGACCTCCTTTCCCTTGAGGCCGCATGAACGACTCCGAGTTAGCGGACTTACCGATCAGCTTGGCTTCGTTGAAGTTTTCGGGGACGTTCCTCGTCTTCACAGCGTAAGCCGTGCAGAGGATAATCAGGAGGAAGTTGAACGCCAGCGGAAGCATGATGGAGAAATGAGGCATCCGGCACTGAAGGACCACTCGGTTCCAGTGAGGATAATCGTGTTCCCAACCAGACGGCAGGATGAGATGTGTGCACGTGAGAATGATGACCTAAAATACGTCATCGTTCTCACATCAAAATCAAATATGACTCGGGTTTTGTTTATCGGATAATGCCCTCGATTCCCCCGAGGAGCTCATAGCTGAGGTCGTGCTGCGTATTGGACATATGCATGAGATTCGATGAGCGTCGTCGCATCGGCACACCTGTATGAAGATGAGGATGCATGTTATGACAACTTGAGAAGTAGACGAGAGAAATCTCCTGGGAGGCGAGATCGCCATCGACCGGATGTTGCCAAGGATCCGAGCGATCCGCACAGTTTTGACGAGGAGCGGGGCGTAGATCATCGTCAGACTGAAGGGGGGAAGGACCCGCACGGCGAAACAGGAATAGTCTGAGGGCTAAAAAGAGTCGAGCGATTAAGCAACCTTTGACCCACGCCGCGTCGGCTTGAACGTGTCAGTAATTCTGAGCTGCTCTCTCAGCGGAGCCGCGCATAATGAATTCTATCGAGACCGGGCTCTGGAGCCTGTTCGTCGGCCACTCACTTTGAAAAGGAATGCGAGCGACGTCCCGTGGGACATGGCCATACCAACCAGGATGATGTACGACAATTCGCGCGTGGACGATTTCACAACCGGTGTAGAATTATGTTGGATGAAAATTGAGGTCACCACCAGTGTAGTAGCGATTCCGACACTGGCTACCGCGATCACGAGCAGCGCTGGCGAGTCCTTCCAATGTATGTATTCCTCGGGGATTGCGTAGCAACCTGATTGATTAGGCAGTTTTTAGCAAATAATTGTCACGACGGAGATCCGGAATCTCGAATGGACCATCGGACCTAGCGTCGAACTCACCGGTTAGGTTGACGTTCGGAGCGAATCCTTTGGGACATTCTTCGCACGTGAATTCGTCTCGGATAAACTGAGTTTGTTTGCAGGATAGACATTTCCAGCAACAGTTCCCCGGCCACCAGACACTCTACAAAATCCCGTGACATCTCTCGTCATAAGCAAACTGTGCAAACCGTGTCGAGGAGCATCGGGTGGTATGTGATGGATTTTTCTCTCGCGCAATCCATTCACGGGATATCCAAAGTCTCAGAAGAGCTATTCCCATATCCCCTGACAGAATAGGACTAACGTCAGGGGAAGGCTTCCTATGTACTCACCTTGATTTGACCCTTCTCGCAGGGCTTGCTGCAGATCGATTCTGGAAGGTTCCGAGATCCGCCCTTGAAAACCGGATCTTCCCAGAGTTGCAAACCATTTTTCCAAGTTCCTATTTGCACATAGTCGTACGAGCGTTCCTTCACCTGCAGCCGAAAACTTATCGTTAGAGACGACAATCCGGAGGGCTGACGCGTATCCGGGAACAAACAGGAGTGTCTGAAAAAAAATGGGTTTGGCCACCGCGAAGTTCCTGGGTGGATCAACGTCAATTCGGGGCGCCTGATCCTGGCCCTTCAAGTTCTTCGGAGGAATGCATCAGTCTCTCGAGCCTGCGGCCTTCTGGCGTCAATGGGCCCACATCCATATCCCCCATATCGAATCGATGTTCGTATCTTATGCAGAAGGAACGAGCTCGTCGAGAGGAATATCCCGGAGGAACGAGAGAAAGGCGGCGCTCAAAATCGCATGCTGCATTTGCTCGATCAATATATCTTACTTTCCGGAAGTTGTAAATATTGTAAACGCCGACCGGATTCACTCGAATGACCTCCGAAGAATTCGCTGCGAATGGAGGCCACGAGAAAGTTGTCTGATTGAGATAGGATACGAAAGCCGACGCGTTCAAATGCATCTTCGAGACACACTCCTCGGTCTTGTTTTCAGAGCAATGGTCCTCAATCATACGATGGAGGCCTTCGGCGACGAGGTAAATCGATCTCCGCAGATAGTCCAGCTTCGGATCTTCTCTGTAGGAGTCGTCGCTCAGTGTTTCATTGCCTGCAAAATAAAGCCGCGGAAAAGTCGAGAATGTAGAGATACCCATCGTGGAAGAATCTGGGATTCTGAGACGTGGGGGAGGATAGACTAGGAGAGGAGCCTTTCGCCGTCATCGACGCTCGGTGAGGGACTTGGGAGAACCAGCGGAACGGAAGAAGCTGTCCCTGACATGTGTCCCTCTCAGTTTGGCCCGAGCCCCCGACTCACCTGTACACCAACGATGGTATTTGAGAACCTTCGGAGAGTCTTTCCGTCCAGCCAGGGTGCATCGGAACTTGTCTTCCCAGAATTCTCTGAACCATGGATTGTACGTGTTACTCTCCGGCCGGAGTTTCTTGAAATATTCTTTGAAATGACTGTCCAGCGGCTGGGGGAAGCTGAGCGTCATACAGCCTTCGGCAACATCCTCCAGAGACTGCACGATGGCTGGATCAGTTCCCCAGCTGTCGCTGTGAACGAAGATAACAATTACTCTATTCAAAAGCCTCGCCACGAAGCTCATGAAAACCGAGCATCGACCCCATCAGATATCGCTCTGTACCAAAATGCTCTGTCTCATACCTGGCGAGGATAAGGAACTTCTGCGACGCGTTTAGATACTTGAGGGTCATCAGGAACCTTATGAGAATTGTTTTCTCCAGGTAAGCTACTATGACTCGGGCTCCTGTAGGCCGGAGGGCATTCATCATTCTCCTAACGGTGGTTTCGTAATCACTCTGTCGAGATCTCGGTGAAAGTACGTATTTTTGAGCCACGCAGATTCCGTTCGAGTACGCCTTAGCCTTAAAACGCTCGATTCCTCCCGGACCGTAGTCGTCGTCTGGAACTCAGATGGGACGCCGTCACAAGGTCAATTTGATCCAGTCCCAAACCTCGAACCTCGAGATATATTCGGTACTTCCCCGAAACATAATTATAAATGTGGATCTCCCGCTCAGGATAGAATGTCAATCCAGTAAAGGTTGGAAAACAAGGGAGAAAAACTTCGCGCTCACCGTCGGAATATATAGTGTAGACGTAGGTCCAGTTGAAGCGTATCAGAATATCGAGCATGGCTTGGCTCTGATAGTCGTCATTCGGGATAATTGAGAGGAAATATTTCGAATACTCCGTGGCGATTTTCGCCGTCGCCGAATAGCCTATTTGAGGAATGCCGAAAAGCTGGAGGAGATTCTGTACTTGCGTCGTCCCCGTGCAAGTTGCCGGCCCCAAGACCGATATTAGGTTACGTCGCTTCTCCGGCACTGTACACTTCTTCAGACTGTATGTCTCTATACTATGAGACTGACTCCACGGATACGGGGTCTCCTGGTAGTCGCTGTCGTGCCAGACCGAGGCCCGGATATAATTGATCGTTTGCTCTAGAGCGATGGGCGGATAGTTGCACGAGTCGCGAATATGGATTCCTAGCGTTGTGTTCGGTAGAATGTCCTGTCTCGCGTTGATTTCGTAGATTGTCTTCAGGGCCATCTCCACTCTCTGGATACCTTCCTGCTCCAGGATTTGCCCGCACCTCAGGGGATCCGTCAGGTTTGGCTCGGCGTGCACGGGAACTATGAGGCCCAAGAGGAAATCTTCGGGATCCACCGACTTGTAGAAGTAGCTGATACTGACCGTTTCATCATGGTAAGCTAGGGACAGCGTGGTTTCTGAGAAAATTGTCAGCCACACCGCCCAAGTCGACACGTGCATTTCAGTGCCGATACTCGATTACTTTCAATTATCTGGAAAAATGATTTAACTTTTATTTTTGGGCTGCTTTGCGCTACTCTAGGAGAGGATTTCCGCGATTTTCCTGGCTGGAACTTGTCGCATCCGCAACAATGGTCGTCGCCAAAACACTTGGCAGTGAGAGCTTTGAGTCCGAACGAGAGAAGAGTCCTCAGGCCGCACATAACCCGAGATACCTGTTTCGTCTCTTTTATTTGCCTATCCCCCCGTACTCGAGTGCTCAGACTTCCCGGTCATAACTGGCTCTGCATAATGGCCGCTAAAGCACTCATGACGATTACGCAGAGCTCCCTTGTGGCGCAAAAAATGTCGACGATGCACAAGGTTCTATTGCCAGCACGGGGCCTCATACCGGAGTGAAGTCGACGGAATGATTCCCTGAGAACCGAGGTCTTGTGGAGGCGTGAAGGTCAAACTTTCCGGAATCGGCCAGTTTGCGAATCATTCACCCGTAGCTGCCTATCTCTGACACCCGCCTTCGGCTGAGACGTTAGTCCCCTTCCCCTTTTAAATTGAACGGGTGTATTGTTTCGCAGACTAGGTTTGCCCTGAGGACGAAGAATTCGCTTCTATTCGAAAATATTTTTTCCTTTCCCCCACGGCAAACACATCCCAAGTGAACGGGCGAGAATCGAGACACTCACCATGAGGACCAGAGACAAGCAGATATACGCACCACATCGGCCTCCTGACCAGAACTGCTGCGATTGTCTCTTCCCCTCAGTGCTGACATAATAGCATTGAGAAACACTCCATGCACTTGCTGCGAGAACCACACTATTCTGAACCGAAATTCGATTCGTTTTCGTCTAATCCTCTATTCTCGACGCGGATCGAGCGGCACGCTTTTCGTGTTTTGCCGTGTTGCGGCAAGTACCGCTGTTACTGGCTCGGAGTACACTAATGAGTCTATCCGGATAGCGGCTTCCTTTGTGTCAACTGACGTCACGCTTCCGAGCCGTCGGGTGTACCTCTCAGCATCGAATGCCTCAGATCTACACAGGCACGGGTCCAAAGTGAGAGCAGACATTTTTTCCAAGTTTTCAGAAGGCTCTCAACGCCAAGATCCGAATTAATTCTCCCGAGGCCGTCGAAATTGAAGAGAACTCAGAAAGGCCGGCTCCAAAACTCGGGAAGGGGATCTTGATCACTCGGAGCAGCCTTGCCTCCTCGCACTGCTTAGACAATCAGCCGAGAGAAGTGCAAGGGTTCTTATACGGGAAGAACACGTTCTGCAGCAGGTTGCCGCTCGGCCTTGAAAATTAAGGGGAACTCCGGTTCTGAGTTGCTCACTTAACGCTACGTCAAGTACAACTGTTTACTCCTCCTGAGAGTGATTCCTTGTCCGCAACAGACGAGACCCCAGTGGAACTTTCTCATTCGCCTCGGATTCGAGTCGACCGATGTGACGCGGCAACTCTCACACTCTGAGGAGACCCTATTTCCGAAGGAAAAAATCCTGTTGAAGGAATCCAGCGTTTCGGACCGATTCCATTGAAATCCTTTCGCGACTATCCGCATAGAATCGGGCGAATCGATCCGGTACTATATAATAAGTTTCCGTCTTGGCCTGAGTTTCTCAAGCAAGATTCTTCGGCGCTGGGGCAAGATAAGGAGTGAGCTCTTACTCATCGAATCGAGATCCCGTCATGATGTCGTCGGGGTCTGATCCGAGCCCACAATGTAGCGAGGGGACTGCTCGCTCACTTGCGGGAGCTTGGTCGTCCCGACCATAGGAATCAAGATACGGGGTCGGCTCATCTCCTTGCGCACCTTATAGTTCAACGAACAGCATGGAACACTACCCGGCTGTATGGGTATCCTGTTGCAATCTTTTCATTGCTTAGAGCTCTTGAATGATAAGGCCATCATTTCCTCTAGGTGGAGCCTATCTGTTTCATTTCCCCGTTGCCTCCTGCTTGTATCATTCCTGCGGACTCCGAGAGCTCGCTTCGTCGACGCGACCGTATTTGCGGTGAAGAGAGAAATACCACAAAGCGAAAGCTGCTTTATTTTGGGAGTATTCTCTCACAGGTCATTTCTACGGCGGACTTCGCGGATTGCCACAATCTCAGAAGTCCCTCCCTTGGTGTTGGTAGAAGATCATTCTACCGCCTCCTTCTTTCAATTCGACCCATTCGAGAAAGAATGGATCTCGTGTCAGAAGACAACACCTCGGAAAGTGACTCCAGACCGAAGTAACGTACTCGGATTTCTGCATCGATTGTGCGGTGATTGCACCACGGCAGGCGTGACTCGAGCCCGGGAATGAAAACCCGAGAGGAGTTGCACATACCCGAGAGGGCGAACTTCGACAAATAGTTCGTCTCGGGGTCTGATCTATTCTACCCGATCGCGAGTATGGACGGCGGATATACGAGATACCCGCGCGCGATACATCTGAAAGGGGAACCCCCGCTCCGCGAGTGGGTGTCATATGATCCGAATGGGGGAAGCCTTCAGGTGATGTTTTCGAACGGCGCTAGGACTCGAAGAAATCGGGATCGCAGGGACATGAAGTTAACTTACGAGTATTTCCTTGAATTGTGCCGTGGAAAAGTCACAGGAACTTACTTGAACCTACTTCATGTAAGCCCCGACTAGATCTCCAAGGACTTTCCCATTGAGGACTTTTACCCTCCACAGGGCTTTTCTCATCGCACACTTCAGCACGTTCATCCATCAGTCGGAAGGGAACCGCATGAGCGACAAGCTCATAGAGACAAAACAGTGGATTCAGTTCCACAGGCAGGAGTGCCTTGATAGGAGTGCATTGAGATGCAAGTGTCCGAAGCAGGTGCATGAGTGAGGGACGCAACCTTTAAAGCTCCGGGGAGGAGGGCACGGTGGCACGTAGCGAATTTCATTGGGTTCTCGTACGCGCGGGCAGACTCACGAAAAAAGCTCTCCTATGCTAATGTAATACGAAATCAATGAAAATAATGAAACCGCATGGAGCTCCGAGGCCCAGGCTGAACATATTTATTCATTCGAGGTTCACAAACTTCTCGACATGCTGTCGCTCGCAGAAAAAGTCAAGTAGACCTTTCGAAAGAATTCGGCCCGGATCTACTATCGTCGAATTTGCTACTCCTGACGCTTTCCAAAGAGCCCCGTCTGGACGAGGCCCGACTCCGCATCTCCGACATCGAAGAACGCATCGAGGTGTTTCGGCGAACCTTCGCGAAATGCTCGCTGTGTTTGGTTTTTTGAACTTTGCGTTCCACTGTAAGAAAATTTTCGTTTCGTTCCGGCGCCAAACAGTCTCGTTTCAATTCTAGAGTGCCGGCTCGGATCCCTGACACTTAGCAAAGGGATCGAACTCTAACCCACCCTTGTCCATGGCGTCTTCGAGGGCGTTCTCGAACTTTTGATCGATATACAGCTGCTGATTTTCGTCGGATGGAGCCGCTGCGTCGTACAGACTCCTCCGACGGGGGCGCGTATAGGATTTGTTCTTATGAGCTTCGTTGAGCACCTGGTTTGTTCGAAACTCCTCAGTCGAATGGGGCGGGTGCCGAGCCTCTCGAGGAATCCTTCCGAATCGTCTCAGATTGTGGGCTTTAATCCGCTCAATCAATGCAGTCCACTCACCTCCTTGATGAGCTGCGAGAAATCAGAATAGTCTCCCTCCGATGCGGCTATCTTAGCTGTCGATAGGATAACTTTCGTTGTTTCGACTCTGTGTAGCAACATGCCGCTGAATTGTATGAACATTACGATTGCGAAGAAAAGAATGAATCCCAATCCTATCGGATCCAACATCAACGGCTCGTGATCGATGGTGATTTGCTGAGGACGAGAATCCCGCTCCTGTCATAAGGCTAACGACCGGACTGAAGCTCCCTCTAACCAATCAGGAATATCCGGGGATTGAGCGCCGACCGGCTCAAATGGGACTTCGGCGTGGGGATTCCCTTTACGATACGTCCTCGAATAGCCGGACCCCAGGATGATAATTTCAATTCCCTCCTTTCAGCTCACCCTCGACTCCACCATGTAGACGATGCGCGATGTTCCTCCGACGGGCCACACGATGTAGAGACTGTCCTTGTGGAGCTGCAGAGTAAACAACGCGAGGACGTAGAGAGCATTCAACATGAAATATGCGATGCTGACGTTATCCCGGAATTCCAGGAGGCTTTTCTGCATATCGGCTTTTTTAGTCGGGTTTTCCTCGATCGGGTGGAGAAATTCCTGCATAGATGAAGAGCGCGCCATCAGAACACTTCAGAAAGCTCTCCGAGGTTGTTTTTTTTTGAGCGAGCTGCTCTGAGACAGAATCGCTGACTGAGACTACACACCCTCAACAGGTCTCTCCAAAATTTCTCTTCGCTCGAGGGAAGCTCTGAAACGGGTCCGTCCAGGACTTGTGGATCCGTCATCCACTCACGCATCCGATCCTCTGAGGATTTTGCATCGTGGGACTCCACTATTGAGGAGAGCTTCTTTTTCAGAGTCGCTTCATAGCGCTTCATCCCAGACAGGTTGTTGCTTCGATGTCATTGGCCGGGAGCATTACCTTTGAATCCTACGCGCGGAGTTCTCTTTGGCTGGGACTCGCTCTCGGGCTCGATTACAACCTCAGGTATAGTCGGAAGAGCGACTTCTCCGCGAAGATGAGATTTGATTTCTCTCAGATCATTGTTGATCGACGAGATCACTGTCTTCATGTCGTTTTCCTCACTCCGTCGACCGGTGAGAGAAGCCAAAATTTGTCTCAGGATCGAGGATTGCATCTTCTCTTCTGAAATCGTCCGGAGAAATGAACGAAAAGAGTTGCCCTTCACTTCCGCTCGAAGCGATGAACCCGAGACTATCTTAAGCGGAATCGGAATGAGCTCCAATAAGATGTCGATACTAGGATCAACAAGCCTTTTCTCTTGAGCTGTTCTTGGAGGAGTTTCGCGCGTTCTTCAGGACTCGGAGGTTTTTCTCGAGTTCCCCACACAACAACGTGGACATTCACCACGGAGTATACGACCAAGAAGAGGAACATGGATGGAATCAACATAAAGTACAATATACCGTAGAACACGCAAGTTATTTCCTGCAAGGGTTCATGAGAAATTGAACACCATCATATATTCCCATGCCGGCGTCGCCAGCTGAGCCGAACCTCCGCGATTTCCGGGATCAGATTTCAGTCGAGTGAAAGCAGGCTTGCGGAGCTAACCTGGGGATGCGCGATGGCAGTCAGGACGTAAGTCAGGGCGAGAGCTGTGGTGAACATTCCCGATGGGGACGCCGGGCCCTCATTTTTAATTTGGATCAGTAGACCGATGAGCACCGCGCACATGATCAGCGAGTATAGGAAGGTCAGTAGCAGTGCTGCAAGTATCTAAAGAAAAATGGACTCCAGTCACGGAAAAGAACTCGGGGATCAGAGAGTCGCTCAAGTTCGAGTTCAGCTCTCCAGCCATTAATCATCATCCTGCTAGCTCCATCTGGGGAGGGAGATTTATCGGGCAGCTAACCCGCGGGGAAAGCTGGTTCAACAAACATATTAAATTATAATATGCATTGTGAATGACGGGACCTGGAGGCCGACGCTGGTATTTCATTTTTACATCGTATGTGATATGACGATCATCATCTATCGAGTATGAATCAAAGTTCCAACTCGACTCGATGAATTTTCTATTTCCGACGGCAATCTCTGGAGGAACTTTTTACCTGCTTGTCGTTCTTGCACATGAAGCAAATCACGATGAAGCCTAACAAGGGTACCAGGTTTATTAGCATGGCGTGAAGTGCCTGCATGGAGAAGACGGTGACGAAGCTGCCGACGATCATCATATAGATGTTCCCAGGTCCTGCAGATGAGTCCCAGCTCTCCTCATTACCAGCCTCAGGAATATCGCGTTCTCAAAGAGGGAGAGCCGTTATCCATTCGCGAAATCTCACCTATGATGTTACCGATCATCAGCATTCCCTGATATGCGATGTAGGGGGCCGACACATTCGGATTCACTTTTATCAGTTGTCTCGCGGAAACCAAGAGATCGATAATGTTGGCTTGCGTTGAAGGACCCCAGCGTCTCCGCTGCGTGTAGAACTCCCCTGTCGAACCGCGAGGCTATGCTGAAGACCCGGATCCGATATTCCGTTCCCCCCTTTCCGTGCATGGATTTCAGGTCACATTCAATGCATGCAATAACCGAGCCACGTCCTCGGAGAAAATCATCAGATCGACTCACCGAAAGCCTCTGGTGCATGTGTGTAAGCGTCGGAAGCAGCACTGTACTCCACACCGAAACCTCGTTGCAACAGAAGAGTACACAGCCAACGATCTTCACCTGCAGAGTGGGCTCAGTCCGATTTCAGAGCACGGGACTCGAATGTGACATCACGAAGAACTCGGGCGTGTGCTTAACTCCAGAAAATAACGAGCATGTATCCGTCTGAGTCTAGGTTTTGCAAGGCTTTGAGAAGCAGTGAGTTCTAGTAACGACTCCTCTTCGTACGGTTTCCATAGAGAGATACCTTGATCGTATTGGATGAAATGTCGCGGTTCCTTACACTCTTGAGTGTACGTGCGCATGACGCCATCCGCCATCAGAGCCTCGGCTCGGAATAAGGAAAAGCATCCAGGACTGCACAGAACACATCTGTCATCGGGGATAGAGAAGAGAATGGTTGAACTTCTAGAACTGGAACCTTGAGGAAGCCCTCCGCATATTTTCAGATCGAAGAGCTCATGAGATGCTTCGTGAGTCGGCATCAAAGAGCAGCTGCTTCGCTCGTCGTCGGCCGCTTCTTTTCGAGATCACTCGGTTCTCGGCGTTCAATCGCTACGAACCCGAAGACATGTTCCGTGGCTTTCTGCAACCAGTGCGCTACTGCGTATTCGAACTTCTGATACCAGACCATGATTCCTGCAAGAAAAACATCACGTACAAACGAGGGCGAAACAGAAATCACGGATTATGGACATTTGAATTTGTAGTGGAGGTTGGAAACTTCCCGAAACTATTGTTCGCGACTGTCGCTATGCTTCGATTCCTGGCCGCGGAGAGTCAGAAGAGGCTCCCGCCCGACTCATAAATCGGCCTTGTTCTGTGAAGTTCGGAAATCACTCGTCATTGATGTCTCACCCGATCCGACGGGATGAATCCTGCCACAGGCCGCTCCTAGATGGTCGTTTTTCTTCATCAGATCCATTAGGAGTTTCACGGCTTGAGGTTTGAAGTTGATATCTCCGTCCAGTGCCAGGATGAATGTGTTTCTTGCTCTGATCTGCTTCTGTTGGGGCGTGAGGTCGAGCTCATGGAGTCGATGGCCGAGAAGGTAGTACATGTACATCACCTGATCAGCAATTTATACCATTACGTCCTTGAGAAGCATCTCCCAAATGTTGATTGCGGATATTCTTCATTTGAAAGTTTCCTGTGAGGCAAGCATCCCTCTACCTGACTCCACCGTTTCCTTGCTCGGATCAATGTCTTGTCCTTCAAGTGGACCAGTAGTCGGTTCCGTCCAGGCATGACCCACTCGAGTCGTCCCCCATACGGGGTATTGAGCTTCCTCGGAGGTTCTAGCTTGAGGTTACGCCCATGGATCATGCTGATAACGCAAATCCATGAATACAGTGACACTACACCGAGACTCGTGACAACGAACTCTTCGGTTGGAATTACCTAGGTCTGTTTCGTTGGCCAATCGTGGATTCAATCTCTCAAATGGTTCATACAACGGACTTCTATCGCAAGGAGCCGATTCCACTTGCTCCAGCGAATCCTACAGGGCGAGCCTCCGCACTTTCTCATCGGATGCACCAAAAGATCGTATTCGCGTTGCGGGGCAGAATTAGCGTTCAGAATCATGGCAAGCTCTAATCACCTGGCTGCTGTATCTACCGCGTCGATCAGGCTCTTCACGTAGGTGTTGACGACTCGCTTTCCCTTATCGATTTCGAACGCGTCGTCGAAAAGTATCTCCGCTGGAAATATGTCCGGCTCATTAATTCCTCCTAGTTATTTCGCAGCCCTGATTCTGTCAAATCTAGTTCTCACGCATTGAGCAAGCGATACGCCAATATCGGATCTTTCGAATGATAAGATATCGGTAAATGATGACGTCGCATAGACTGGAAACACCCGAGACAGAGAGACCCTCTGAGAATGCAATCAGTATGACGGTAGCCGATCGAGATCGAGAATTCTTCACCGTAACTAAGGCATATTATGAATAGCCGAAGGCCTAAAGGGGGCAGAAAACAGTCATATCTGGAACGTCTGACTGATTGTGAAAGTGAGAAGAGATTCGGGGAAGTCTTGTCCTCTTGATACACAGCTTGGAGACGGTCGATGCTCGTTTGATGCGCTCACCCTCAAATTCATAGTAGTCAGGGTCTCTATATCGAAACATCCGATGAATGCATCTCATCTCTCCCTGATCAACGTCCATTCTGAAAATGCTCTTCAGCATCTGGACCATCTCTTCCTCTGTCTCGTGCCACATCGTTGCGCAAGCGATTATTCGAACCTGGGAGTAAATCAATCTTATCAGTTGGCCGGAGAAGAGTTGCGCGAGGCCACCGGCGAGGACATGTCCTTGATCATCTGATCGCCCGTGCTCACATGTGCCGATCATCCTAAGAAAGTTGGCTCGATCACATTGTATCTCAAAGCAGATTTTCTGAAAGTGTGGCTAACTCACTAAATCGTCTGGTTTTTCGTCGATGTTTATCTCCCATTCATTGTCCGGATCGCTTCTCAGCTCTGCATCCGCATCGGTGTTCTCATTCTGGTAGTCAACTTGAGACCATACCCGCGCAAATTCGTTGCCGTAAACCGTCAATTGCACCTGAGATAGAGCGTTTGATCATCCCCTACCGCGAGAACTGCTGGAATCCACGATATCTGATCGACACTACAGCAATGGCAGGTGAATGATACATTTTGGACGGTGGCATCGTTGCGTCGCCGGAACGCCATGATGGATTGGTCCACGCAAACAGGACTAAATAGCGAGTCGATGAAAAGGCTGCAATTTCATCAATGCATATTCTGAGGGGAAGTTACCAATCCGCCAATCGGTCCGTTAGGGCTGGTATTCCAATCCGCCCTTCTGGTATCCCCGGAAGTTCACCCCGCACCTACTCTTTCACTTTCGCCACTCGTTTGACCGGTGTCGTCCAGATGTGGAAGGTAATCACCGTTTGACTCAGAAGCCAGAGGAGCCAGAGCCAGGTGTAGTCCACGAAGAAAAAATTCAAAAGGTCATGGTCGGAAACGATGTCAGGACAGTTGAAGAAGTAAGGACAGGGTATGCCCGGTATTTGGAGGCATGCGTCTGTGTTAGAGTCAAATGAGGATCAGATAGTGCACAAAATATTCCGTACGAGCAATATGGCTCGTCGGCTCGCTATCGAGGAGATCTTACCGGAGGCTCGCTTCGAACACAGAGTACCGAGGACTCCGACGGTTAGGGGCACCGTCAGGGTCAACGGGAACGCCATGGAAAAGATTTGTATGCAGACTTGACAAGCGAAGGTCGAAGCTGCGTAGCACACGTATGACGACAGGGAGTGGATCAGAGCGAAGTACAGAGGCGTGCGGGCATCTGTCCCAATCGTCGCGAACGCTCTTGAGACGAACTTCAGGGAAATGCTGGAACCGTAGTTCAGTTCTTGGAAGACGGGCTGCACGATGACACCTTTGTCTGGATGAGGGTATTCGAGGTAAGCGTTGTCAATCGATTCCATCAGACGGACAGATTGAGTCACCGAGAAGGAGCCCCCTACTTTTCAAGAAGAGTTTCAAGTTGACTCGAGTGAATAGAGCTGTATAGTCCAACCCGATGTCGGGTCTTCCGTCGGTCAGTATCATTGCTGTCGCGAGAATTATGCCACATCTGATCGGGACCATCATAAGATTCAAGACAGGTTTGCTCTTCCGTATGCGATCGTTGAGCTTCTTTATGTAGTTGACGTTCTTGCCGCCGAGGTAATTCTCCCACCATCCACACGATAACATCAGGAGCACGAGGGGCATCCACCAGAGGCGAGGTGTCACCCAAGAGCGATCCAGAGCGGCCCAAATGAACAATCCACTCGTCTGGAGGTTTCAATGAAAAGTTAATATTCCCGCAAGCGTCTCAGGAGCCGCAATCATTCATCTCACTCGGATCTATCCCCGATTCCAACACGATTGTGGAGTCGATACCGACCTGGAAAATGAGGGTGATAAAACGGATGATCGATTCCGGATCGAAAGAGCCGTCCTCCTCGTTTCTCCAATGCTTCATTTGCAGAACCCCGGGGACGATGAACACGCAATTAGAAATCATAGCCCCGTGCAGAACGTTGAGCTCAGGAAGGATTCCGAAGACGAACCAGGCGCTTCCACAAGCATGGATACTCTCCATCAAGAGCGTCTGAGAGGTGACAGAGATATTCAAACCGTGAGCTAGAAGGACGGGGAGCTAGTCTCGGCTGCTTGGTTCATCGATTGCGAAACGCTCACCCCTATCATAACCTTCGGCGTTGGCCATGTCAGAGGTTTGAAGAGACAGGATTTAAGGCAAGCTAGGAGCTTCAAGCATTCCGGGATGCACAGAGAGAGGAGCAACGCCCAAGTGAAGATAATAATTTGGGTTTCGCTCGTGCCGACAGTGTAGTCGAGATCCGGTCGAACGGCGGCGCTTGTCTCCACAAATAATTCTGCGGAGGTCAGCCGCGGATATTGACGGGTCAGATAGCGATAGAACGTTCTTATATCGCTCTGCGAATTTTCAAGGGCCAGGGCCTGATCCGCCGAGGGGCTCCGCAGAGCGGATGCTCAATGAACCTTTGCCGATGGGCTGACTCACCTGGAAGGCACTCCTTGCATACAGGTCTCGAATGGTTGACGGATCCGGATCCGGATTTAGGATACGATAATTGTGACGTCATCAGAAGAAGGCTCGACTTTGAGATGACAGCAGACAACAATACCACGCTGAAAGTGACTCCATAGCTCAGCAGCTTCATAAACCGCACCGCGTGCAGCACGAGAGATGATTCCTCGGTGTCGTCGATCTCGACATGGGGAGCCGGTTGGAAAAAGTGCACCGCCGGTTTGACGCTTTGGTACCTTGAATCGAAGAATTGAACAGTGCGCCGAGAAGCTCCAGCTGCCCTGAAGATTTCCATGGATTTCCTACGGCCGGGATCGAGCTCCGAAGGACTCATGGGAGCCTCGAGTTCATCGGCATGGGATCATCGATGTATCCGAAATACTCACGCAAAGCTACCGGGAGCCGGGCGTTCTTCCATGCTGGCGACTGGGAACTGGTGTGAGATTCAAGTTCTGTGAGCCTTGAAACCCAGATAAATTCTTGGAGTGACATTCGAGTGATTTATTGCAGCTCCCGCTCGTCGAAGGAGTTTTCGGTATATAACCGCGCGTGATTACGACCGAAAAATTCGAAACAGTGAGTGACTCAGATGCTTCGAAAAATCCCGCTTCTTTCCCGGAAAATACTCGTTGTCAGATTTCTAGAGCTGATTTCAGTTTAGCTTAATGCTCCTGTCGCTCGGAGCTGCTCAGCTCAGACCAGTTGCTGTGTGTTTGTGATTGACTTTTTGAGAAGAAAATAGAATGCCCTCAACGGCTTGGGAATTCCCCGATCGATTTACCGGATCATGTCGTGACTGTTGCCGAATCCTGCAGCGCGACCTTCGGTCCCTAGAAGGGGTCTAGTGAATCAAAAGCTCCCCCATGAGTCTCTTCTTGGGTCAGTCGGAGGTGAAACCGCCACCTCAGAGTGTTTCCCGAATGATATTTCTCCCTGCTTGATGATGATCGGGAATCGCGATCCCGCAACCGCCTCTCCGGACAGCCCGCCCGCTTCGGTTCGCAGGCAAGTCTTGTATCAGAGTGTTGCATCGGTTCAGAGCACTTGTCATCCGATCGGGTATCAGTTACAGGGATGCTCGTATCCCTAAGCTGATCAACACTCACAAGGTCGCGACGGATAATTATGATGCAAAGAACCATGCAGGGATATCGGTGACGGGACCCGCTCCGCGCTCAATGATGAGCGCTTGGCAGCTGCATCAGCGTGTGTCGAGCCTCCTCGTCGTGCTCGGGGCCTGCTCTAGTCGCAAGCTGCTGAGTTCATCTTCGAAAAATGACCTATCGTATCGGGCTCTCGGACGCACTTAAGCCCGCCAGAGCCGCGAGATAAGTCTCAACATTCAGGAGCTTTAGAAGGCAGTGGCGGATCCGAGGGGGGGGGCCAGGGGGCCATTGCCCCCCCCAAGAATCTTCGATCCCTATACAAAAGCATGGGCCGCGAGGTGACGCGTCATCATTTTCGGCTCTTTCCCCCCTGAAATATGACTTGGCCCCCCCCCAAGAAA